AGAAGGGAAAGGAGCCCCAAGACCGCCTGCCCTGGCTCTGCTCAGCGACAGCCCTCCTGCCCAGTCTACCCTCCATGTGTCTGTGACCCGGCTGCTCTCCCAGAAGGAAAAGGAAGAAGGCTCCTTCTCCCAGCACCCTCGGGCCAGGCGCCCCTGCAGAGACCCTTTCCTGCACCACCCAGATGAGACCCCTCCACAGCCCAGGGCAGGGGACACGGTTCTTTCCCTCTTCCCTCCAATACTCCAGAGCCCACTGCTCATTCCCCCAGGGCCTCGGGACCCACGCGTGGTGTCCTCCCTCTCCCGCTCTCAGAGGCCCCAGAGAGGGGTTTTCTCAATCCCCAGGGAGACATGGGACCAGCTTAGAATATCCCACCTCCTTTGAACCCAAATGCAGACTTCACAGCTCCAGGGAATTGTGACAAGGTGGTGGGGAAACCTTCTGCCAGCAGGGATGGCGGACACTAGGATTCCCAGGGTGGCATCCTGCCTCTCTTTCCTCACGTCCTTCCAGAACAAGGGTTCTGGGAAGGCAGGTGCTGGGAGGAGGCTGGACCAGTCAGCATCTGGTGGGTCCTGTCTCCCCTGCGCCTCACACAGGAAAGAGACCTTTCCTCTGCTCCCCCAGAGAAGGCTCCACAGAAGTTGTTACCAAACTCTTTCTAGCCACAGAACCCTGACTTCAAATGACACAATGTCATGTACCCCAAGATATAAACCTGCTAAAGCAGGGCTGCTCTGGGTGTAGCAGGCGTGGGGTCAGAGCCCGCCCCCTCTGCCAGCTCTCAGGCGCCCTCACACCCCCCGGGTTGGCTCACGGTGCTGGCCCCTGCTCCACTCCCTGGACTGTGAAGGATTCAACTGGCCCTTCTGGAAGGAGGACACTATTTTCTCCCTCTCACTCCCTTCCCTGGCCCACAGCCTGTGCCTCTTGGAAAAGGGGCAGGGGGAGCATCCCAACTAGGGACAGAGAGATTGAGAGGGGAGCCCCATGAAGGGCTGCAATTCAGGACCCTCCACACACCACCAGGACACCCCGAGCACTGAGTGCCCTGGTCCCATTTAGTGCAACAAACACTTGCCGGGATCCTGTGAAACCTAGCCCAGCTCCCTCTTCCTCCGAGCTCCCAGGGCCTGGAGCCCCAGAGCCATAGAGCTCCAGAACCCTGCACCTGGGACAGAGGGCCCTAGGCCTTCCCACCTGCTCTCCTCCTAGGAGAGGAGGTGATGGAGTGGGGCAGGGCTGAGCTAGGAGGTTCCCTTCCCCAGAGCAGGGGTCGGGGGTGGTCTGGAATGTGCTCTCACACACTCCTCCTGCCCGGGAGGCAGCGGCCAGCCCCCAGCCCTGAGGCTCTGGGGGAAGCTCCTCTGAGCCGTCCTCTGGAGAGCTGCCCCCAACAGGTCCCCTTCACGCGCCATCTCACCCCAACTCAGACTCTAAAAACGGTTCTCTGGTTTTCAGCCCTGGCGCCTGCCCACAAATTAGTGTCTCCAACACGGCCTCTTGGGACACGACTTCAGAGAGGCCCCCCCGGGGGAGGCAGGAGGCCTCCGTGAGGGAGATGCTGCTGGCAGGGTCCCTTTTGGAGGAGATGAAAGGGGGTAAGGCCCCGTCCTAGCTTCTGGGACCCCCCACCAAGGCCACCCAGCCTCAGTGACAGCTCTGCTCTCCTTGCCGTGGCTGAGGAACTGACAACCTTTCCGCCCACGGCAGCCCCCTCCCCTCTCCTCCACCACCCGTTCAGTCAGCTTCGCCAGCAGCCACCCTATCAGGCACTGCCCTGCTGGAGAAGAAAACAGCGCGGGGAAGGGACAGCCAAGCCCGGTCCCTCCAGCGCAGGGTCCAGAGACCCACCTATACCGAGCCTGAGCCCCTCAGTGAAGCCACAAGACAGGGGCCGGCTGGGAAACCAAGGACGGGAAGCCAGCCTCACCCTGTCTGATCTTCAGCCTTGGACCTTTATCCCCGTCCAGGCCCGCAGCAGTCCACTCCGGGGGGTAAGAGCCCCCCAGGGATGTCTGTGCCCCAGGGCACCAGCTGGACAGGTGTCCCAGACTGAGGCTGCGCAGGCACTTGCGGGCAGCGGGTGGGAGCAGGGAGGGCGTGCGGGCCGGTACTCACAGGTAAGCCGTCAGGGGGTCCAGGTCCCCCGGCACGGTGGAGAGCCCGAGCTCAGAGCAGTCAGCCGACAGCATGATGCCGTCCTCCTGGCAGTGGCAGGGGGCTGGGCAGGCGGGCCCTGGGCCGGGCTGGGGGGTGCCGGGGGCGCACGGGATGGCGCACAGTGCAACGCAGAGCCACAGTGCCCAGAGCCCGGCCGAGCTGGGCATCTCAGCGGCCTGGCTGCGGGGCACCTGGCGGGTGCGGGCTGTGCCTTGGGCAGGACGCTTGCGGGCTCTGCTCGGCTCTGTGTTGGTGGGAGCGCAGCCGGTGCGGTCAGAGAGAGGCGGGCATTGTCGAGCGATCGTGCTGTGCAGTTTCACGGGCTGGGCTTGGCCCCGGAGGGAGACGGGCGGAGGAGGAGTCAAGGAAACTTCTACGCTCCGCACTCCCCTTCCCTCCTTCCTTCCGAGCTGGCAGGAATTTCATTCAGGAAAAAAAAAGCAAAGAAACCCAAAGCAAGGGAGCAGAGCCAGCATGTGGGGACCTGCACTTGTCTGGAAACACGTCCCAGGGCTGGTGGGCTCGGACCCTCTTGCCTTCGGGGACTGCGCAGGGTCGCAGGGTACTCAGACGAGGCTCCCTGGGAGCCACCTTGGAGCACCCACGGGTCCCCAGCCACTGCACACGCTCATCTACAGGAGGAAACCGAGGCCCAGGAGGGAAGGATTTGGTCAGGTCACACCGCTGCCTGCCAGGGGGCAGCCCCAGAATGGAAGTCAGGGTCGGCCCTTGTCCCGTCCCCTGGGGAGGAAGCTCAGGGCTGTCCTGAGAGGTGGGGCTGTGAAGGGCTGGGCGGTGGGCAGTGAGGAGCCTTCTCGCTGAGCAGCCCTGCCTGGCCACCCAGAAAGAGAGTGCGGTTCCACTCACCAGGAGCCATTGTGTGAAGCCTGTGTCCGGTCCTAAGGCCCCGGACCCTTGGTCCTGTCCCAGGACCCAGCCAGGTGGCCAGGCTGAGGGGCTGCGTCCAGCTGGTGGTCAGAACCTGCCTGAAGTCTGCAGATTGGCGCCACCTAGAGGCCAGCGCTGCAGCTCAGCCACCTGTGCTGGAGTCCCAGGGCCTGTCGTAGCCCTGGAGCCTTGGGTCAAGAGCAGGGTCACTTCCTGTTCTCTTCTGAGACCAGGTGGGCCAGCCGTGCTTCCTTCGTGTGGCCCCTGCTCTGTTTCTCTCACAGTGAGCCAGGCCCAGGACAGAGCTAGAGCAGGCTGTCTGCCGTTCTTGCTGTCTTCCTGGGGTCCATCCAGAGTGGACACGGAAGCCGGAGACCTCGGAAACAGCCGATAGTCCTTCCATCCCTACCTCCATACCCCAAGACCTGCTCATCAACTCCTCTCCCGTTCTCTGCTAGCCTCCCAGGGCCAAGCGGCTGCACAGGTTGGCCCAGAAGCCAGCAGACTCAACTGGCTGTGGCCATGGCCCTGAATGTACAGGACCCTCCTAGGAAAGCCAGAGGATGGCCCTGCATGGACGGCCCCAGCTCCCGTTACCAGAAAGATGCACAGATGGGAGCTGTCCCCACCTTCGCATGTGAGCCTGCACCTCCGGCCTCACTCATCTGTAGTTCTGGCTCCATTACCCTACACTGTCCAGTGTGGGGGCCCAGGCTCGAAAAACCATGGTTGGGCCCTGTTGTGACCCCAGTGATAGCCCCTCGCGGGGGGCTTGGGCCTCTCATAGCTGAGCTTCCAGCCTGCCCACCTGAGGGTCATTGTGGGGCCAACCCCTGGACTCCTGATAAGCACAGTGTCTGAAAAGGATATGACACTCAGTTCCCTGAGGGGGCCCCAGAGCCTGACCTCATTCTGGGAAGGCCCCTGGCTGAGCAGAAAGCCCCACCTCTGTCCCCTCCTCCAGCCAGGCCCAGGAAAGGCCATCCCTGACCCCTTGCACTTCACCAGTAACTCAGGTTGGCCAGTAAGAGCTCCCCCTGCCGCCCATTTGGAGGTCTAAGTGCCTTTCAGGACCTTCTGCTCCCACTGGCCCAGGCTCTCTCTCTGTCCCCCCGAGCCCCCACCAGGACAATCGGTGTCCAGCTTCAGGCCCCCTGTCATCCAGAACCATCTGATCAGGGGGCAGCGGGAGCTCACGGGGCCATCGCAATCCTGTCACATGGCGTGCGGTTCAGTCCTAAAGCTTGTGGGACAGACTGCTTCCCGGCCGCATCCTCACCCTGCTGCCTGGTCTCTGCTCCTCCTGGTCTTTCTCTTCCCCACACCCCTCACTCTCTCTCCCACCTCCCTCCTCTGCCGAGGGGAGCAGGAGGACAGCTTGAAGGAGCAGAGAACACCGGGTACCGGGGCGGCAAAGCCCGGCTCATGCTTTCTGAGTCAGCGCGGCTCCTGCGTGCACACTGCTGGGAAGGCAGGCCACAGCTGGGGCGGCCCCTGGGGACTGCAGCAGGTAGAGAGGCCCAGGGACGGCAGGCAGAAGGGAAGCCGGGAACGGGGTGGGGGAGACCATGAGTGACTGGGGCTCTGAGCCCAGGGCGCCCCAGGAGACTAAAGTCTGAGGACATTGGGCGGTTGGGGGTCGGGGCTTCTCCGAGGGGAAAGCCAGTTCAGGTGGACCCCTTCCCTAGCCTGGCCCTACTCAGGTTTGCCCCCCATGCCCTCGCGTTGGGCCCCACGTCCGCACGCATCTTTGAGGCTGTTTCTTGCCTCCTCTGGGAAGGGGGTGACAGACAGGACACAGCCTCAACCTTGACCATATCCTTTATTGCCAGCTTGGCCCGTTCCCCGACAGCCCCAGGGAAGCCAGGCCCAAGCGGGCTTGCTGGGCCGGTCGTCACTGCCTGGCGGGCACACGCCTCTTAGGCTCCTGCACGGCGCCGTGAGCAACTCAGGGCAGCCCATCCAGCAGCGCGCAGCTCAGACAGTTGTAGAGGTGGATGTACTGTGCCTGCGGCAGATACAGGGTGAGGAGCCTGCCCCCTCCGACCAGAAAGGCCTTGTGTTCCCAACCCTGGTCCATCTGGGAGCATCGTGGTCCAGAGCACCACCTGGTGGCTGCCCGGAGGGTGCGCCCCGAGGCCACCTGCAGCTGGCGCAGAACCTCCTCTGCATCCCTGCCAGTCCCAAGCCGAGCCCCTGGTGGCGGCTCACCAGCATGGGGGTCATGAGGCCACAGGTCAGTGACTGCTGCAGGGCCACGTTAAAGATGTCCACGGTGCCCTCAGCCCCCACCTGCTTCAGCAGCTGGTCCACGGCCAGGAAGGTGCCCAGCAGGGCTGCCCGTTGCTGCAATTGGCCTAGAGTTGGATGGGGTCCCTGAGGGAGGGGGATGGGGGTACCCAGGTCTGTGGGGAGACCCAGCCGGGGCCTGGGGCCTGGAAGGCACGTTAGGTCCCTGGTGAGCCAGGCTGGGCCCGGGCAGGGAGGATAAACTCCTAAAAGATGTCACATCCCTGAAGGATGTAGGGCAGAGAGAGGAGAGACGGGAGCACCGGACGACTGTGTTGTTTGGACTCGTGACTCAAGCAGTGAGGCCCTGCCAGAGGAGCAGTAAGGGGGTGCTGGTGCCCGCTGCCCCAGACCTTTGTCCAATAGCACCTGGAGTGGCCGAGCAGCGCGCCCAGCTTCTCCGTGTCCTGGAGCAGCACTGGCCCACAGCGGCCAGGAAGGGCAGCAGGGTGGTGGCAGGAGATTGTGCCCCAGCTCCCAGCACGGAAACTGCAGTCTCTGCACCAGCCTCTCCTTCCGGCTCTCCCTCTGGGGGCAAGGATGCCGGCATTGGTGCTAGGGAGGGCATAGCGCTCTTCTCCACACATCCCCCCTGACAGCCTGGAGACCTAAGGGTGTGACCCTGAGGAGGGTGCAGGGCCAGCCCACCATGCTGCTCTCGGCCACCCAGCACACTGTCACTGTGTGCACGACCATGGCCTGCATCTCCGTTGGCCAGAACTCCCGTGGCAGGACCAAGTCAGGGCGGCTCGGGAGCTCCCGGAGGTCTCTACCTGACCGGGTCACAGGCCACACCGCCAACCTCCCACCCCGCCCCGACTCCTGAGGCCTCCCGTCCTCGGACCCTCTGCTCCCTCACCTTCTCCCGAGAGTGGGGCGGGCACAGGGAGACCAGCACACGGGCTGGTGATTCCACACCAGCTCCCAGAGCTCCTCTGGCCCCGTGGGGCCTGTCAGCACCACGTGGTCTCAGCCAGAAAGCCCACCCTGCAGAGCACAGCCCATTGCACTCTGGGCACTGAGGGTGTCCCCTGCCCGACCCACAGCTCTAGGGCCCCCAGGAGCCCTCGCCCAGGAAGCACAGATGGTCGAAGAGCGCAACAGGTCCTCATCTGACAAGGAAGAGCCAGGCTTCGGGCAGCTCGTCCAGGGGGCTCTCCTCCGCTTGAGGACGGGCGTCTGAGGGAAGATGCAGGGAGAGGCTGCAGAATCCCCACCCAGCCCCCTGGCCACCCACACCATCCACGGCACTCACAGGGGACAGTGCTGTCCTGTTCATGGCCGGGGCGGGGCGTTGACGAGCCAGCCTCATCCCCAATGGCCTGGAGCAGGAGCGGGGAGGGAGATGCGCACCTGAGCCTGGGTAGAGCCTGAAGAAGGGCCCACCAGGCAGAGGCGCCTGCCTCAGTTCTCACCAACCCCGGCCCGAAGCGTACTTCGTACTCCTGCAGGAAGCCACGCTGGCATGGGCCGCCCTCTGGGGCCACGCCTGGGCAAAGCTGGCCACTGGGATGGGCTGGGGCCCGGGGGCGGGGCGTGGAGGGGTCAGGGCACTGGAGGGTCCCCGGTTCCCACGTCGAGTCCTCTCGGCTCTGCCATGGGCGGGAGTCGGGGGACCGTCACTGAGAGGGCACAGAAACCTGCACCCCACCCAACAAGGGCCCAGGGAGCTGTGACCCACTCAGAGGGGTCAAGGGGCCCTTCCAGAGTCCTGTTCAGGAGGCAGCTGTGCAGGAAGATGTATTGGCTCTGGGGGGGTGGGTCCGTCTCCAGGCCTGCCAGCAAGACAGGGGTGGGTAGGGGCAGGAGGGAGCCTCCTGGTGCCATCCCACAGTGTGGAAACTGGCAGGCCCACCCCACCTCCCCTTCCACGAAAGGGACACGGAAGCCCAGATGGGGTCCCGTGTTCCAGCCCCTCCTCCCCGGGTCCTCTGTGTGCCCCGGGAGCTCCTTTCCCTGGTCCCTTCAGACCTGTGGCCTCATGGCGGGCCACCTCCCACTGCTCCCTCAGGGTCCTCCTCCCAGCCCAGCCTGCTGGGCCCTCACCAGGGTCTGCATCACGAGGGGCCGGTGCAGCCGCAGCTCGTATATGGCGTTGAACACGTCCACTGTCGGCTCCTCCTCCAGCTGCTGTGGCAGCCTCAACAGGACCACGGAGGTGCCACTGCGGCCCACGCCGGTGCTGGGGGCAACACCCGGGCAGCTGCAGGGTGGAGGGGCTGCCTGAGCCCTCCCCCCTCCTCCCTCCAGGCCAGGCAGCCCCTTGCCCCCTACCTGGCCTCAGCTCCAGTGCACCAGGATGGGCCCCGGGCAGCCCTCACCTGCTCCCTCACCAGCTCTGTGAAGGTGAGCAGGGAGCTGGGGACCACGGGGACGCTGTGGTCAGGCAACGTGGTGAACTGCAGCTGTCTCACCCTCTGCTGCTGCCGCCGGGCCCTCTGAGGAGGGGCGGGGGAGGAGGGACCGCTGCTTCTCCTTGTCCTCCTGACTCCAGGGTCCTCGGCCCAGCACCTCAGCTTTCCTCACCAGATCCCCGAGGGCAGGGGTGATGCCTCCCCTCTCAGACTGGGTGTCCCCCAAGGGCAGGAGCAGTGCCCCCCACCCCCCGCAGACTGGAGACCCCCCCCCCTTTGGCTCCTTCTCCAGGCTCCTGGGTGATCTCTGCCTAGAGGGTGCGCAGGCAGAGGGGCGCTGCTGGTCCCTGGCTTTCTTGTCCCAGGAGGCACAGCCTGGGAAGGCAGATGGGACATGGGGGTTTGGAGTGAAGCAGGGAGCTGAGCGCAGGGCAGGAACACTCACTTCCTGCCTGCTCTGCCTTGGACTCTGCGCGACCTCCGACAAACCCCTAACCCTCTCTGTGCCTCTGTACCTTCCCTCACCACCACCTGCCCTGGGCAGTGCCGGGTGCCTGCGATCTCGGAGGGCAGGAGGCCTGGGGACCCAGGCAGTGGGGCACCCTTTCCCGAGGGTACCAGTTCAGATGCCTACTCCTCCCCACCCTCCCCACCCCGCCCCGTCCCATCCCCTGGGGCGCATGTGCTGCAGCCAGAACTCCCACATGGTCCACTCGTCCTTGGGCTCCTCAGCCAGGAAGTGGACAGTGATATGACTGTGGGTGACAGGGGTGGGGTCGGCCGGCCAGTAATGCTCACACAGCACCTGGGGCCAAGGGTAAAGCGGAGGGGGCAGTGGTGGGCCCAACCCCACCCCTCCACGCATCCTGGGCTCTGCGGAAAGTCTGCCCTCTGCACCGACCCAGCTCCAACACGACAGCCATTCCCGCAAGGAGCGCATGTGCCACCTGGTGGCCATTCCGGAAACTGCTCACCCTTCGGTTCGTGCTGATGGTCAGCGTGATGATGACATGGACCTGCTGCTCCCACACCAGCCGCCAGAAGTCCTCCAGAGTTCTCTTGAGCGTCCCCTGGGTGGCGATGAATTCCTGCGGGTGGGTGTAGCCCTGCGGGGGTGGAGCACAGGAACATGCGATTTGGTGACGCCTTGGGCCCCGGGCCCCACCACACGCAGCAGTAAACATCCCACGTGTGATCTCCAGGAGTGAGGACCTGTGTCCTTGCCTCCATGTGTGCAAACACACCAACACACATGTGCACCAGGAGGGGTGGCCTCAGAGACACCACCACACCCCAGCCCCACCACACGTGGCCTGCCTACAGCCTGTCTCCCGAGCAGACGCCCCACCGACAGCCCCGCAGGCAGCCTTGCCAGGATGAAGTTGGCATTGATGTAGGCGGAGTGGGGCTATCCCTCCAGCTGGGCCAGCGGGACCCGGAAGCGGTCCTCTGCAGAGGGTAAAGGTCACCCACACTTAGCGTGGGGCACACAGCCCTCCTTGGGCCTGCCACTTGCAAGGCAGCACGTGCGGGTAGCTGTTCTTGGTGGCATTGGCAAGGTGCTCGGCCTCCAGTCTGGGCTGCTCTTTGCCCAGCTCCTTCAGCTCCTGCAGAGGTTGGGGGCAGGTGCTGGTGGCTGACAGGACAAGCCCGCCCTACCCCAGAGAGGGGCAGGGGGGTGTGCACAGCTGGGAGATTCCCCCCACACCTTCAGGGCAGGTCCAGCCCAGCCCAGATGCCCGTGGCCCTCTCTGCTCTGAGCCTGAGGGCAGTAGAGGCTGTACCTCGAACTCTTGGAAGAAAGCCTGGTGAGCATGCACACTCTTGGCCTCGTAGCTCTGCCAGAAGCTGTGAATGGGGATTGGCTGGTGGGTCTGCCTAGTGGGAGAGGCAGGGAGTGGGCCCAGGGCCCTGATGTGCAGAGTCCTCCCCTGTGCTCAGGTGGGTGGTGGGAACAGTCCTGGCTGCGCGACCTGATCACCTGGGAGCTTCTAGGAGCACAGACCTGGGTCCACCTGTGAAGTGGAGCCAGCACGCTGAGCAGGTCCCCCGATGCACGGTCTGGGCTGCCCACTGCCAGTGCAGGAAGATGCGGGCAGACAGGCCACAGGTGGACACAACTGTGAGTCTTTAGAGCCCCCATGGTCCCGAGGAGGGCTTCCGTGCACAGTGGTGCTCGCACACGTCAGCTCAGTACAGAGTCAATGTAGGAAGGGCAGGAGTGACCAGAGGAACAATTACAGACTTGCCCTCCATAGATCCCCGGGCTAGTGTCTTCCGGAGGGAGGAGGAGGAGGGGAAGAGAGGGGAGGGGAGGGGAGGAAGAGGAGGAGGAGGAGGAGAGGAGGAAGAGGAGGAAGAGAGAGGAGGGGAGGAGGAGGAGGGAAGGGGGAGGAGGAGAGGAGGAGGAGGGAAGGAGGAAGAGGAGGAAGGGGGAAGAGGGGGGGAGGAGGAGGAGAGGGGAAAGGTGGGGAGGAGGAGGCGGAGGAGGAGGGGATGGGAGGAGGCAGGGATGAGAGGGGGAGGGGGAAGGAGAGGAGGAGGAGGAGGAGGACAAGGAGGAGAAGGAGGAGGTGAGGGGAGAAGGAGGAAGGAGTGGGAAGGAGGAGGCTGAATGTGCCGAAAACAGCTGGGAGCTCAAAGAGTTGGAGAAAAGGCCCTGGGGAAGTTGTGACAAAGGGGTGCGGGTGGCAGAGGCATGAGCCCAGCCTGGTTGGGATGCAGCCCCAGGCGAGCAGGCTGCCAGGGGAGAGGGCCATGCCCCCATGACCTGAGCAGGGCAGGGGCACATTGCCCACCAGGCCATCGGGAGGGCGGGGACGTGCACTCACCACAGGTTGTAAGCTGTCAGCTCTTGGGAAAACAGATTCTTCTCTGCCCTGCCAAGGATGAAAGGCCTGTGGGTTCCAGCCCCAGGGGGACAAGGGGTAGGCTGGCCTCTGGGGGAAGGGGCCCCTCTTCCCCCAGCAGCGCTGGCCCCGGCCTTCCCTCCCACTCACCTCTGCCCCTTCACCCGCCTCCAGTGCAGCAGGCCCAGCACAGCACAGACGGTGAGGACTCCAGCCGCCACGATGCCCACCACCACTGGCAGGGGCATTGCCATCCGGGAGACACCGGCCTGGGGCCCTGCGGAGGGCAAGGCGGAACATAGCAGCCTTGTCCCACTGTCCTGCAGACATGCCAGCCTCTGCTGGATGTGAGACCCTCCGGGTGGAGGGCACAGCAACAAGCCCCCTCCCCCAGAAGTTCCCAGTGCCAAACCGAGGCCAGAGATGGCTGCCAGGGGACCATCCTGAAGGGGACCTGAGAACACCCAGCAAGCTCTCCCTGCCCAGCTCCCAAGTCCACCCCAAAGACACCACTCTAGTCCCTGACATCCTCAAAGAAAAGACAGAGGAGAGAGGCCTGGCCTCCTGGGCCTTCTGGAATGCACTGTCCAACCACCAGCCACATGTGGCTATCAAGCACTTTGAAATGTGGCTGCTCCAAATTCAGATTTGCCCTAAGTGTAAAATACACTCAGGATTTCACAGACTTAACAAGAAAAAAAGAATGTAAAATAGCTCATTAACAATTTAAAAAAATGGATCACATGTTGATATAGTATTTTTGATATCTTGGTTTAAATAAAATGTTACTAAAATTAATTTCCCCTATTTCTTTTTACCTTTTTAACGTAGCTACTAGGAAATTTTAAATTACATTTGTGGTTTGACATGGGTGGCCTGCCTTATGTTTCCCCTGGACAGTGCTGTTCCGGAACCGTGATGGCCCAGGAGCAGCAGGCACAGAGGGCAGTGCAGGGAGGGAGTGTTCATGGCAGCAGCAGACCATACCCTTGAGGCCTCTGCCTCCCCTGCCCTGTCCATCCACCCACCCAGGCCAAGCCCGGGGTCAGCAGCCCCTCATCTCTGGTCTGGGTTTCCAGCTTTGCGAGGTGGGCCATGTCCTCCCTGCAGTCTCAGCTGGGCGCCTGCTGCTGGTGGGGACAAGCCTCAGATGAGGGGCCCAGTGGGAACCGTAGCCCTACCTGAGAAGGCTGAGAGGAGACAGCTGTCTCAGGAGAGCTGTGTTCAGTAAAGGCCACAACACAACCTGGGGCAGAAAGACGGGGCCTTCTGATGGGAAGAGGCAAGCAGAGAAGGCAAAGCCCCTCCCAGGAAACTGAGTCACGAGCAATAGACCCTCCAAGATGAGAGGTCCTCACCTGTTTAGAGCTACCTGAAACTTTAGAACAAGCCACCCAGCTTCCCTTCCATCTTCCCTGCCACACTCTGAAAGCAAGGAGAAGCCCGAGAAGCAGGTGTCTGAATATACTTGGCATCACCCTGGCAAGCTGAAACAGCACCCTTTCCCCCTTCTTTTCTGAAAAAAGAACCACATAACAGATGGGGGTTCCCCTTTTTGCCTTGTCTACCAGGATGCCCTGTCAAAACAACTCTATTGACCCTGATGGACCACGACATGCTTTCTGTGTGTGACTCAGTCCAGATCTTTTGTTGAGAGAACGTGTAAACAACCCGTGAATGAAATTTACAGGGGCTGCCCCTCCGCTCAGCCTTTGCCGTCACCAATACTGGTAACCTGGCTTGAGCTGCCCATTGCATATCTCCTGGGTCTGCCCACAGTCCTCCGTGCCCACAGGCACCGTCCAGGATCTCAGTGTGGCCCAGGGCCCTGGGGGGAAGGGATTGGGAAGTAGGATGGCCAGGTAGAGTCCTGTTCTCCAGAGTAGTGGTCGTACCACGTGCCGTTGATGGCTCCCCGAGAAGGCCAAGCCACTGAGAAGAACAGGGAAGGGGCAGGGCAGGGTTGGCAGTGAGGCAGAGGCTCCCCCCACCAGAGGGGCTACCCCATTTCTCCTGCTCCCACCGTTCATAATGCACGTTCAGCCCCATCTTCAAGAACATGCTGGCCCCCTTCCTGCTCTGAGAGCTGCGCCGGCCCCAGACATTTCATCTCACCAGTCTTGGTGCCCGGGGCCCTCACCTGCGCCCTTCTCGGCAGTAGCCAGAGTCTCCCAGGCCCTCTTGGGCCAGGACTCACGTGATGTGTTGGTGGTGGCGATGACGCCGTCCCACCAGGTCTGCCCGTCATTCTTGCCAAACACGCCCTGTGTGACCATCACTCCCACCCCGGCTCAGGCTCCAGCTGGGAGGTGCCAGGCTGGGGACAGAGAGCAGGAGAGTGAGGGTCTGACGGGGCGCCTAGCAAGGTCCCCAAGGGCGGGGGTCCTACCATCGCTCCCCAGCGCCTCTCATGGTGCCTGGCACCCTGTGGCTGAAGGAGACAACTAAATAAGGACTAGAAGATTCCGGGGCCGGCGTGCAGGGCCTGAGGCTCCTGGTACCTGGATCAGGGCCAGAGAAAGGGTTGGGGCTTGGAAAGCAGGGGCCCCCGCAGCAAGGCCAGAGGAGGGAGAGCCCCAGTGGGTGACAACAGAGGAAGCCCGAGTGAGCAGAGGGGCTCCCGAGGCGTGAAGACTGCCTCCCCGCTGCAGAAGTGGTGCACACCATGGCAACAGCCCGACGCCGCAGGCCATTCCTGCCCAGCACGGCGAGGCTGAGGCAGTAGGAAGTGGCAGGAGCCAGGCTGGACACCAGGAGAGTATCCCCGGAGTTGCTGGCCTGGAAAATGAGCTGAGTGTTCCCTCCCGAGGCCAGCTGCTCTGCCAGTAACACGCAGGAGCCTACGTCCCCCGCAGGCACCACCCAGTTCAGGGCCAGGCAGGTGGCCTCGGAGTGGCACTGCACAACCTCCAAGGGGCCAGGCTCTGTGAGAATCCAAGGTTCTGGGCTGTGGGGGTGTTAGTGTACCCCAAGAGGATGGCATCTGGGACAGGGGCTCTCAAAATCAGCAGGCCAAAGGGACTGGGCATTTATCTTCATGGGAAGGGGCACCGGCCACAAGGAGAGACAACCTCTCCTTTGGACATCACTCCCATCTGGAGAAGCAGAGGGAGCACATCGCCAGGGCAGGCACCCCCCCTGGGGGACAGGTGGCTCAGGACAGAACGGACAGTGCTGACCCTGGATTGGGGCCTGCCTCTCAGGGCACTTTCGTCCTCCCCAACAGAAGTCGACATACCAATGCGCAGCAGCACGGGGGGGTAGACGCCTGCAGCAGCCCGCCCGACACTGCATGGACAGGGAGAGGCTGCATCCAGGTGTGAGGTCCCTCGGGACGAGGTGGGCCTGGCCCAGCACCAGGGGCTGCTCCCAGGAGATGTTCCCGGCCACTGGGAGCTGAGCTTGGCACACCCCCTGCCCCAAGGGGCCGCTGGCCCAGACCAGGCCAATCACGGCACTGCCCACCCGCATGGACACCAACAACTCATTGGGCATGAGTGGGGCTGTGGGTGGAAGGAGGCAGATGAACCAGGCCGCTGGCCCCAGCCCTGAGGGCCCAGTGCATGATGCAGGGGCTGGCTGACCCCACGCAGGGCCCTCAGGTGTGGAGGCTGGAAAGACTAGAGAGGGGTTCAGATGCCACTGAGGGAGGAACCCAGGGGTCTCAGAGGGAGCCTGCACGCCTCCCTCCCCCCACTGCCTCTCCCACCCCCACTTACTGGTCCAGCCAGAGGCGATGGCGGCCGCCGTGTGGAGGGTCCCAGCCTGGGAGACAATCTCCACCTTGTACTTAGTGCCGGAGTCAGAGCCGGAAAGCTCGTGCTGTCCCCCTCAGCTCCCACAGTGCTGGTGCCTGCCTGGACACCTGCCTGGTACAGGGTCACCTGGTAGCCATCCCAGCCCCCGGGAGCATGGACCCAGGATGCCCAGAGCTGAGCCAGGCCTTCACTGGTCACATTTACCAGAGGAGGGGTGAGAGGGGCTGTGGAGAGAGCAAGATATGGGGGATGGACATGGAGGGAGGTGTTATGGGCTGGACCGTGTCCCTCCAAAAATTCACATTGAAGTCTTGATCCCCAGGACCTCAGAATTTGACTGTATTTGGGAATAAGGTCTTTAAGGAGGTAATTAAGGTAAAATGAGGTCATTAGGTGGGGCCCTATGACTGGCGTCCTTATAAGAAGAGGAAATTAGGACACAGACACACACAAAGGGACCACCAGGTGAGGACACAGAGAGAAGATGGCATCTACATGCCTAGGAGGGAGGCCTGGGCCAGACCCTTCCCTCACAGCCTCAGAAGAAGCCAGCCCTGCCCACATCCCAATCTCAGACTTCCAGCCTCCAAAGCATCAAGGAAACCCATTTCTGCCGTTGAAGCTACTGGCCTGTGGTGCCGTTAGGGTGGGTCTAACAGACCATCACAGGAGGAAAGAATACAGCCACATCTGGGCTCCTTCCTCCCTGAAGGATCCCCCACTTCTCCTCCATCCTCGGCCCCACAGGAAACCCCCGGGAGCTGAGACTCCGGTCCAGGGTGTCAGGCGACACCCAATCTGAGTGGTATGGTGGCAGGGCTCCACAGTACAGACCAGCACAGAATCACCCGCCCGCCTACCCCAGCACCTGTCCTGGGCAAAGCTGGACGGGGCAGCACAGAGTTCAGTCAGGTGCTTTTTCCCAGCCCAGGCCCGGCACCCAAGGAGCTTCAAAGGCCCCTAAGTGGGTGGACAGGCTCTGAAGGGCAGGCAGGTGTCTGGGGACTCAGACCAGGACCTGGAGTCACACGAGCCTGGCCCAGTCACCTTGTCAACACCTCCTTTGTAAATGGGGAAACTGAGGCTCAGAGAGGGTCGAGGCTTGCTCCAGGGGCTGAGCCACAGCTGGAACCAGGTCTCCTGCCTCCCAGGCCAGAACTCTTTCCAGTTCCCTCCAAGCCTGTCTGAGGCCTCACGTCCTCGAGAGGAACCAGGAGGACGGGGGGGGGGGGGGGGGTGGCCGCCCTGGAGAGGGAGGGCGCTAGGCTAGGGCAGCAACTGCTCCTCACCGAGGACCCAGCCAGCAGAAGAGCAGGAGGTCTCAGGCCAGCATGAGAGGAGCTTCCGACTCGGGTTCTGTGGCTCGCGGGCTTCAGGGAGCAGGGGAACCCCTGCACCTGGGTGACTGCCGGCCTCTGCAGGGCCGTCATCTCCCACTCCTCTTGGGGGCTCGCACATGGCCAGGAGCAGGGGCTCTGCGTCGCTCGTCTGACCTGGGATCCCAGCTCCCCACTGAGGGCCGAGGACCCCGGGGCAGGTCCCTCCCTTCTCTGTGCCTCGTTTCCTCGTCTGCGAAGGGAGAGAACCCTATTGCCTACCTCACAGGCTGTGGTTGTGAGAATAAAGGAGAGAACACAGGGAGACTCAGCGAAGAGCCAGTGAGCGTGAGCCCTCATCGTTGTTAGCCACTCGCAGCCCAGGTGGGGCTGGAGGCCGGGTCCTCCCCACCTCCCACCTCCCACCTCCACAGCGTGGCCGAGAGCGTGGAGGGTCCTGCACCCATGGCCACTGCACGAGAGCAAACCCCAGGGCTCTGCCCTCCGTGCAGGCTGCTGGGGGCCTGGGCCTGGGGGTTCCCAGTCAGGGCATTGGGTCTCCTGGTGCCTTGGGGTCGGGGACAACCACAGTCAGCCCAGCTGCCTGCCCAAGAATGACAGAGGCCCCCCGGGGAATCCAAACGGCAAGGGTGGCCGGTAAGGAGGGCCTGTGCAGAGGGCAGTCACTATTCCAGCCCATGGAGCTGGGACTGCTGCTCTCATCCGGGCCCTGCAGGGCGGCCAGCCATACCAGGAACTCAGTGCCCAGGGCCAGCTGGGCCCAGGAGAAGTACTGAGCCTCGGGAGCCAGCATCTCCTGGCTTTCCAGAGTCAGGGCCCTCCGGCAGTAAAGCCGCAGCTGGAAGCCGTCCCTGCCGCCCGGTGGGGGACTCCAGGAGGCCCTCAGGGCAGGAGGCAGGGAGGCCAGGCCCAGGCTCAGGTTGGCAGGAGAAGCAGGGACTGCAGGGTCAAGGAAGAACAGACTTGGATTGGCCCAGATCCCCGTCATTGTCACCATCTCCCCTTGAACGCTGTCTGCACCCTTCTCCTCCGTCTCTAGACGGGCCCCAAACGCTTACAAGTCCACCTTCCATGGGCTCGAAGCCACTCTTCTTTCCCAGGAAAACCCCTTGAAAGACATGGGTCTCTGCCCTGAGACCTGCTCCCCACCTCCTCCCCAGACTGTCGGCTCCTTGAGGACACGAAGGCTGGCTCACATGGTCCCCACGCATGGCACCTGCCTCTTAACCCCTTAGGGCCCGGGTCTCCAGCTCACCCGCCGACACGCGCTCTCTCTGCCCCCTGTGGGCCTTGGTGCACTAGCAGCCTCTCAATAAAGTCCCTCTCTGCCCATCCTGCGCAGACCCACATGCTTCTCAGCTCACTCTTCTCCTGGAACCTTCCCTGACTCCCTAAGCAGCGGTCCCTCCTGCAAGTCCTAAAAGATTAGACTGAACCACGTAAAATTCCCGTAGTCACGGACTTGAACCCACAGGAAGAGTTTCATACAGTTCAAAATACACTGAGCATATTCCCATCAATGCATTTACATCTATTATTATATGCTGTGTAAAATAATACATATTATATATGTGCGTTTATGTGTGTGTATGTATACATACACCATCTGTTTACTTGTCAGTCTTCCTTTCTAGACTATCATAATTTTTAGCCTCATTCCTAAAAAATGGGAGGCATTTATTAAATATTTGTTAGATGGATGGCTGACCAGACGGCAAGATGTGGAAAATGCTTGCAAATAGATCCACGAAAGGCCTGGCCTTGGATGGACGTGTGGCCCTCTGAGTCAAGAGCACAGCACACAGAAGGGCAGAGGGTGAAGGAAGCTGGCCCCACCCCACCATCAGGGCTAGCCTCCCAGAGGCTGCAGCCAAGACTTCCGGGTGCAGGTGCGGGTCGTCTGGATGCAGGAGCTGAGGTTCCCCGCCCAGGTCCACACAGACACACTATAGCAGAAGCCAGGCACTAGACCCTTCAGCATCAGGCTGGAATTATCAGGTCCCACGTCGACGAGGCTGCACGGTGACCCCTGGCTGCCTTCTTGGTGCCAGCTGACCCTGTAGCCTTCCCACTGCCCCGGTGCTGGGGCCCAACCTATGTTCAGGTCCGATGGGCTGCCCCTGCCAGTGACCTCCAGTGACTGGGGTGCCAGGGGCCCTGCAGAGAGGGGTGGTTTGCTAAAGGGGCCATACAGCGTCTGTGGCACTGTGGTGCCCTTGCCAGCTCTCCTGAGCCTCTCCTCTACCCAGACCTCCCTCCCCAAGGCCAGGCCACCCAGTCAGGCAAGGGCACACAGTGGTTGGCGCTCACTTGTACGGCCTGTGAGGCTCTGGGTGGTGTCTCCCAGAGAGGAGACCATGTCCACCTGGGGGACCCTGGGCACCAGCCCATGGAAAGTGACTGGGTGGCACCAGGTGGCATGGAGCTGCTTCCAAGGAGGCCTGGGGCTTCCTCTGTGTGGAGCAGCACCTGCCTGGCTCCGTGGTGGCCTCCAGCCTGTCCAGCGGCAGCTTGATGCCGTCGCCTTGTCTGGGCTGTGCTGTAGGATCTGGAAAGAACACAGCCCCAGAGAGTGAGGACCCACCTGCCTCTCAAGGCAGATGCCCCAGGCAGGACCCTATCCTGTTCTCTACCAGCCCAGACTCACCGTCCAGCTGGGTGCTGGCCTGGGCCCAGGCATCATAGGGCCCAGCCAGAACCCTCAGCTCCAGAGCATCACACCCAGTGGGCAGGGGCCCTGGGGCCCAGAGTGGTGCTCTTCTCCTCAGCCTGAGCAGGTAGCCATCCCAGACTTCGGGCCTCACCCTCCAGCTTGCCTAGAGCTCTCAGGCTAGGGAGTCAGCACCCAGTCCAGGGGGCAGAGGGGTCTGTGGAGGAGAGGAGCAAACACATGCAGAAAGACGTAAACGGCAGACAGGAAGGATCCACCCTCCCTGGGCCAGCTTCTTTCTCTATGCACTGGACCACGTCTCATCCAGATGCCAGGGGCCACCATTTGCCACATTCTGGATGAATCCCGGATCTGGCCCTGGACAGCAGTAAGAGGTGATGACACCGACGTGATCGAGTGTGTACGTGCACACACGGCTCCGAGCAGTCCACACGCAGGATCCCACACTTACTCCTCCCACCACCGCAGAGGACACTAGTATTGTCATCCCCACTAAAGATGCAGAGACAGAAGCACAGAGAGCGAGCAATCTGTCCAGAGGCCCACAGCCAGTGAGTGGCAGAAGTGAGCCTCCGCCCTAGGCAGTCCGATACCTCTGCTCCTCACCACTGCAAACCATGTTTCTCAAAACACAATCGCGGCAGAGTCAACGTGGGCACTGTGGGCACCAGCCCAGGTCAGGTCAGCTTGGCCGCACACAAGCTGCGTGGCCGTGGGTCCATCCTCTCTGAACCTTGGCTCTCTCTACCACAGAGTGGGGTGACATGACTTACACGAGGCTGCGTGAGGATTACATGAGGTGACAGCACAGAGGCTGGGACACAGAGAGGTTCATGTGATGATGAGCCTTATACCACCGTCACCTTCTCAGGTGTGCACCACCACCAGCTGCCAGGAGGGGCACTCCCTCCGAGCCTCACTCCTTCCCTGCGGGATTCCAAAGGACCCTCCACCATTGTATCCTGCCCACTGGCCAGAGGAGAAGAGCTGGGGAGCCTCTGCTGTGTCCCCCTTACGCCTGAGGCACTCACGTGTCCCCTCAGCGGCATTGGGCCCCACTGCCCGATGGGGCCCAGCAGCAGCACTGAGCACCAGCTCATAGGGGGTGCCCGGAGAGAGGTGGACAGAGGTGTGACTGGAGACCCTCTGTCTGACCACCACAGTCCAGTTGGTGCCACCCAGGAGGTCTGTGAGCACCAGGTGGAGCCAGGCGGCCCCCACAGAGCCAGTCCAGGAGGCTCACAGGGCACTGGTGCCCAGGGTAGGGAGCACCAGCTGATCTGGGGACACAAGGGCTGCAGGAAGAATGGAGAGAGCAAAGTCAGGCTCTAGAGAGGGCCCTGGAGCAGGATCCCAGCACTGAGCCCAGAAAGAAGCCCGGAAGCCAGGCCACGTTGGGAGGTGGTTGCCAGGAGATCTGGATGGCCACCATCACTCCCAGACTGGCTGCTACCTGGGGCCCTGCCAAGGGCCTGCTCACCTATCCACTGCCGGATGCTGGTCTTCACTTGGAGGTGGCCAGCCCAGGTGGTAACCTCCAGATCATACTCGCTACCTGGCAACAGGTCGCTAAAATTGTAGGACAGGGTGCCTGGGGGCACAGAGATCTTGTGTGTCAATGTCTGGGACTCCAGGTGGTAGAGGAGAAACAGGTAGCCATCCTGCTCCCCAGGGGCAGCACTCCATGAGGCCTCCAGGCTGGATGGGCTCCCAGGGCTATGGAGCTGCAGGTAGCAGACAGACAATGGGGCTGCATCGGAGGGAGAGAAGCACCCACTTCAGGGCCAGGGGGGCATCACCCTCTGCTTCTAAATGGGCCATCGTACCCCGCGTGGTTCTCGGAGATGTTGCTCTCTTGTCTCCCCTGACCCTCACTAGCCCTTCAGGGAAGCCACCTCCTTCTCAGACCCCAGTCAATGCCTGCACACCCCCCGCCCCCCGCCTGCAGGCCACACACCAGTGTAGACAGTAAGGGTGACGGTGGCATTCTGCCCACAGGGTCGCAGGGCGGTCACTTCCAGTTGGTAGCAACTTCCTGGCACCAGGCCCTGGAACTCAAAGCTGGACACGTTGGTGTGGGCCTGGAGCGGCTGCCCTTCAGGAGAACTGAGGGGAGCAGATAGGTGAGGCACAGGGCGTGGCTGAACCCGCCTGGCTCTGGGGCTGCCCAGCTCAAAAAGAGGCTAGTCGGCCTCCCCTCTCTGCTGACGTTCATTTTCAGAGGTGGTCCTGGGGCAAAGGGGGAGCATTCAGAGTCTCCCCACGCCTCTTCTGCCCTAAAGAAGTAGGCGAGACAAAGGGGCAGAGCAGAGGCAGAGTCTGCGCAGAGAAGTTGCCCCTGGACACCCCCTCCCTCCCAGACGCCCTCCCTCCCTCCTAGCCCCTCACCCTCCCTCCCAGACCCCCTCCTCCCTCCTGTACCCCCCTCCCTCCCAGACCCCCTCCCCTCTGAAGACACCTACCTCCACTCTCCCCGGCTGGGCTCCCTTCCAGGGAGTGGCACACATCTTCCCATAGGAAGGAGAGGGGAGATGGGCAGAGGCCTCTAGGGTCCAGGCCCATATGAAAGCCAGTGGGGACAGGGTGGGATCAGGGGGAAGCTGTCCTGTTGTCCAAGACTGCCCCAGACACGGCCAAAGGGGCGTCGCTGGCGGGCACACCCAAGAGGTGGGAGGCAGCCGGCGCCAGGAGCAGACTGTTCTTGCTGCCATCCTGCCTGCTGGCGGGTGGGAAGGGGGAGCCTCTGTCTTGCCTAATGCAGACCAGCTGTGCAGCCCCAAGAGAGGTGGGAGGCCTGAATGGGCCCTGGAGAGCAGGGACCCCACCCTCCCATCCCCAGTGCCCACCTTACCTTAGCCAAGAAGCCCTGGAGCCAGAGGAGGGCAGGGAACAGGACTGGGGGCCTCATCCTGATGCCGTCAAAGGAAAGTTGGGAGGCAGCGGGGGAGGAGCCACTCCCCCCAACCTTCCCCTTGCCCCGCTGGCTGGCTGGCTGGCTGGCAAGGGAGGGAAAATCAGGTTTTAGGCGGATGGCAGGTGGTGAGAGCAAGCAGCTACCTCTGAACCCCAGACCCTGACCCCCACCCCACCCAGCCTCTGCAGGGCCAGGCTCTGCATGGGGAGAGAGCCTGGACTGGCTCAGGACCCAGAATGTGGAAAGGGATTTCAACTCTCAGGCTCAGACAAGCCTACCCTACCTCTGCCTCCCCCACCTCCCCCTTACTCCCAGCAGCTGGCTTTCCAGGGAGGAAGATGCCCTGCACACTTCAGAAAGACCAAGAGGAGGAATGGCCTTGCAAGTGGACACACATGGCAGAGGCAGCTGGCTCTGCACTCCTGGACCCCGGAAGGGGACTGTGATTGGACTCTACCAGCATGTGGGCGACGGATGGGGTGTTTGCGTTCCTGAGGGAGAGGGTGCCAGGGAACTGGGTGACCTCGCGTGCTGTGTGTTGCTGTGAGCTGCAGACGGAGCAGCTCTGAGCGTGTGGCCCCTTCTGTGTATCCATGTGACCCCATGCTCTTGTGGACAGAGGCACAGGCGCACACCCTAAAGGCCTTGATCTGGTGAGTGTAGATCTGGCAGAGCCCACTTGGCCCTTGGCACCCATCTGGTCCCACGCCCTCACGGCCCAGATGAGGAGGCTGATACCCAGAGAAGGGAGAGCCCAGCCCGGGACTCCACATGTGTGAGGAGATGAGCTGGACTTGAACCTGGGACTTCCGGCTCCACTGAGCAGACGTGGCAAACCCTGCTCTGAACCCCCAAATTGGTGGCCTCTCAGCTCGGAAGGCTCTGAGGAGCCACTCACGTCCCTAGGACCTATGCTTGCCTTCCCACCTCCTCTCCTCGCTCAGAGGTGCCCAGCCTGTCCCACTGTCCCCCTAGCTCCCACCTGGCAGCAGGCACCACAAAGCCTGGGGAAGCCTACCTGGGGCCTGGCCTAGAGGATGGGGAGCTTGAGGCTTCACCCCAGCCTAGAGCCAGCTCCTCACCTCCAGCTGCTCATTATGTGCCCCGCAAGACAGCTGACATGGGGCAGGGGGCAGGGGAAAGAGAGCGGAAGAAGGAAGGCTCTGGGCCCTGGGAAAGAAGTCGGGGACTCAGACACTAACTCAGGAAGTGGGGAGGGAAAATTTGCAGCAAAACAGGCAGGTGGAGAAACTCTGAACCCCGAGACAGCTTCTGTGGGAGCCAGGCTCTCAGGCCAGCCCTGTGGGGAGGACAGGCTGCATGGACACAAGCTCAGGCCAGAGCTAGGGCCCGCCTGCCACGCCCCCGCTCCACCCAGCCCCAAACCTCAGAGCCACCCACCTGGTCCCTGGATGGGGGCCTGGAAACTCAGCCCTGCAGACTCATCAGATTTTCCAGGCCGTGCGTGTGTGTCTGTGTGTGTGTGTGTGTGTGTGTGTGTGTGTGCATGTGCTCTTTCAAAAGAAGTCGGGGGAGAGCAACTAGGAAAACCAATGTGAGAGGGAAGAGGTCCCAGTCTGGCCAAGAGCGGCCCCCCATCCTGCCTCACCTTGGGGCACCTCACTGTGCTCTTCCTGGCAGCGTCCCCATCAGCAGCGGCAAACGTGGGGGGTGGGGGGTACCATCCTAACTCAGATTCTAGGAGAAGAGATGCAGCAAGACATGGTTTCAGATAAGGGGGGCTCAGACCCTCCCAAGAATCCCCACAAAGAGGGACCCATTGGGAACCACACAGACGCTATAGCTCATCCTGTGGACAGAGCCTGGAGAAGGCACCTGGCCAGAGAAGGCCCACCTGCCGGCCCCCCAGCCAGCCTGGGGCCGTCTTGGGGGTGGGAGGGAGGCTCTGGAGGGTGCAGAGAGGCCTGACAGAAGCGGCAGCCTCCCCAGCCCAAGGCTCTCCATTCAGCAAGATACCTACCACGAGGCTGTCTCCTCCCCAGCAACCACTGGCACAGACAAACCCACATCCTCTCCCTGGAGAACCCCAGGTCCTCCCAAGGTCTCGGAGCACCTACTGATTCTTTCTGGAGAGTGCCGGCCCGGAGGCAGATGAGGGCAGGGGACAGGTCCAGGCGTCCTGCTCCCAAATGTGCGCCAGCCTGGGCTCTCCCCGCAGCTAGCCTAGGCCCCTGCCGTCATCTCTCGGGACCCCCACACTGGGGAAGGTAACAGCCAGGCGGGAGGGGCGGGGTGGTGCAGACAGCCCAGTCTTCCATTTGTCCTCCCACTCCCTGGGGAAGGTCCCCGGAAGGGGAGGCCCAGGGCCTGCTGACCAGGCCGCGGGAAGGCAGCAAGGCCCGCGAGAGGCTGTGCACGGTTGTGCCAGCAGCCTGGGCGTGTGTGTGCGAGTGCACAGTGAGCCGTGAGGGTGCACGCACCTGTCTGGATGGAGGTGCACGCATGGGCGTCCAGGGATGTCACGGAGGGACCAGGGGGAGAGGAGGGCCCTGGAAAGGAAGGGCCGTGTTGGGGAACAGATGTCCATTTCCCCAGCTCTGGGCTGGGGAGAGAGGGAGGGACTCTCTGCTGTCCTAAAGTCCTCCTACGAGGGACCTGAGGCCCAGCAACCTGGCAGAAAATGGGGCTCTTCCCTGGAGCTGCCCTGGTGTTGGGCTGGCCTGAGTCGCTGGTCCTTCAGCCGGGAGGGGAGGGGATGGAAAGTCCCCTCACCAGCAGGCACCCAGAAGGAGTCGTGGAAACTGGGTCCGGAGGGGGCTGGGCACCTGGGATGGCTGCACAGAGGCAGGGCCCCAGGACACGCCCAGGGGATCTCCCTGCTCCTTCACACCTCACACCCGCTGGCCCAGACCCCCTCCCACATTCCTAACAGCACTTCTCTGTCCCACTCACAGCGAGGCTCCTCCGGTGTCCCCTGCCTCCTCTTGGATGAGGCCTCTGGATCCCGTCTCTCTGTGTCTCTGTCTCCATCACGCAGCCAGGGACCAGTTGGGGCCCGTAACTTTGGGGCCAAAGCTGGCCTGGGCTGGCCCAGGATTTGGGGGGTGTGGAAGGACCTGGGAGCCTAGGGCATCTCCGGAGAGGAACCGGGAGGGCCAGGGAGGGGGCAGAACATGTAGAGCGCACAGGACCCAGGAGTCCTGGCCTCAGCAGCTGGCCCAGTCCCCAAGATCCCCCCTCTGGGATTCTATAGGGTGGCAGCCTTTGACTCTGGGGGCTGGCAGCAGCCTGGCCTCTCCCTGGTGCTGCAAGGGAACAAGAACCCCCAGGAACTCCGGATCTACCTGCCCCTCCGAGGGGCTTCTGACACTGCGGACGGTGGGGTTGTGGCTCGCAGCCCTGGGACTGCGGAGTGACTGAGGGAGGGAGGCAGTGGGCCCGGGCAGCCCTCCCTGAATGCAAGCTGGAGGGAGTGGGCAGTGAGGAGGGGGGTCTGCAGAGAGATGAGACTCACAGACCCAGACGCTGCCCCGCCCCCCACAGCGTCTCCCCCAGCTGACGGCTCCTGAGCACCAGTGGGGGCAAGCACTTCACAGACCTCAGACCACCTGATGTCACCCCCTGCGAAGGGAGGACTGATGAGGAGACAGCCTCAGGGAGGTTCCGACGCTTCCCCAAGGTCACACAGCAAATAAGCTACAGTGCAGACCCGCGGCCCCCAGGGCCTCTCAGCTTTCAACTATTGCTGTACTTTCTCTGGAGTTGAGGGTGCTGGGACCTAAGTCCCAACCCTGGAAGGCAGATCAGCATCGGAGTGAGCAGGGTTTGGGAGCTGTCTGGGCAGTTCCACACTGGGAACAGGGAAGCTTCCGGAGAGGAGTCACTCCAGGGACACCCAGGCCCCACCCCCACCCCCAGCAGCCTGGACAGAACGAGTCCACCCCAGAGAGGGCAGAGGGGTGTCCCAGGCCCCTGGCCAGGCTAGGAGGGCTGCTGCAGGGTGATGACATGTGTCTTGTCCTGCCTGAGGCTTGTGGGCGGTGCCTCACCCCTCCCACGCTCTGGTCACACACCTCTGCCGATGTCCAGCATTTCTCAACGGAGGGGGGAGAGGGAGTGGGCAGGAGGCAAGGAATGGCTATTCCCCCTCCCCAGATACACCCAAGGGAACTGAGAGCTCCTCAGAGTCTTGCCTGATGACCCACCAAGACCCCCACCCCCAACCACCTTCCCCTTCTCCCGCCCCCAGCTTCCTTGCTTTCCACCTCAGAGCCCAGCTTCCAGCTCCTCAACCCACTGCCGGGCCGGCCTGCTGAGGGCAGGGGTGTGCTCTCAGCCAACGGGCTCAGGCCAGGGAAACCTGCGGGCCCTGGAGGGCCAGTGGGGCAAGGGCTTTGCCCACTTCCTCCACCCCACCCCGTGGTATCCTGGCTTCCTGTACTTGATAACCATCAGCAGCTTGGCCCAGAGGGAGTGGCCCTCTTTCCAATCCCCTCCTGCCCCATCTTTGATCCCCAGGGCCCCCACTATCCACCAGTGGAAACACTGGTGGGTTTGGGGGTGGTTGAGGCCGAGGCCAGCCTCAGGTCACTTCCCACAGGTACAGCAGGCATTCCCAGGCTCCTGCCCCCTCCTCCCTGTCCCGGGCACCGGAGCCAGCTACTGCCCAGCTCTGCTCGGCCTCCTCTCAGGGAAGCCACCAACCCCCAGCGGAGCAGGAGCTCGGGGCTCGGAAAGGGGCCAGTCCCAGACCCACTGCCGGAGCGCCGAAGATCATCCTGCTCTTCCTCTCAGCCCTCCCCCCCCACAGGCCAGAGGAAGGCCAGCCCCTCCCCACCACCCCCTGCGTGCCCACCCGTGTGCCTATTGTACATCATTCCTTCTTTGCTGTCACTGTCTGACGGCTGAATCAGAGAAGTGGGAGGAAGAGAGAGGACGGGGATCGTGCGTGTCGGGGGCCAGGTGAAAGGAACGTTACAAGGTGGAAGGAGATGAGCAGTGAGCATGAACCAGCCAGGCTGCTGGCCAGCAAGGGGCCTGCCGAGGCCAGGCGGGGGTGGGCAGTGGAGTCTTGGACGTGGGGCCACTCCCCAGGCCCCAGGCGTCCAGGCGCCCGGGGGCGAAGAAGACATGGGAGAGCCCTGAAGTGAGGGTCAGAGACCGTCCACTATCTGTAAGTCTTCTGAGTAGAGGTTGGGGTTCTGGCAGGAGGCATGGAAGGGGCTGGGGGCCAGGGGAAGCCCCCCAGACTCTCCTACAAGCCATCTCTGCCACCTGCTGCCCAGCAGGCTGGCCATGTCAGACAGAGGCGGCTGAGCGGGTGTGGGGTTCAGGGCCCCGGATGACCCTTCCGGCCCGGCCTGGGCCTTGCCTTCCCACGTGGAGCTAGGACTCCCACCTCCCATCTTCCCCACCCCGACCCAAGTCTGCACCTCCTCTGCTCTGGGAAGAGGCAGCCGTGCTGACCGTGAATTCCCACAGCTTGAAGGGCGAGGGCTCCGGAGCAGAAGCAGAGAAGTGGGAACTAGTCTCTGGCCCAGTTCAGCTGGAACAAGAGCAACCTGGGCTCTCTGTGGGACAGCATGGAGCTGGGGGTCCGCCGAGCTCTGCCCAGCATGCAGGCAGGGGCTGGAGGTGACAGAGACCCCGAGGCACACTGCAGAAGGAGGAGAGTTTGGCAGCTGGGGCACCGGCGTGGTCCACCTCACCTAGTCCCAGGGAGAAGGCCTGGGCCCATGACAAACATGCTGGGACATGGCCAGCCCGCCCCCGAGGGGCACAGGCAGGAGGCACCCGACCCCTGGCGGCGGCGGCAGGCGCAGGAGGGCAGCGTGCAGCTGGGGTGTGCGTGGGTGGCAGCGAGGAGGGGCGGAGGGAGGAAGCTGGCTTCCTGAAGCCTCCTCAGCCCTCAAAGACAGACCGACAGACAGACAGACAGCTGGCAAGAGGCAGCCCGGGGGACACAGCTGCTTCAGTAAGTACCTGAATGGGGTGGGGGGAGTCCCGTGGCCCTGGGGTGGTGTGAACCCTAGGGGGACGGGAGGGCATCTTGGAGGAGAGTGTGAGAGAGGGTGCGTTGGGTGCCACAGTGCTGGGGAAGGGGTGCTGACCTGGCTGACGTCCCCGAGGGGGCGGGTGGGGAGCCACAGGGACCTGCAGCGAGAGCAGAGGCTGAGGAGCCCCTCCCGCTGCTGGGGGGAGCCTCCCTCCACCACCGCCTCTGCATGGCCCACGCTGTCCCTTCACCTCCGTCCCTACGGGCTTAGCTACTAACGCCCCCTCCACCTCGGAAGCTGTGACCCCGGAGATGGGGACCGTCCCCCAGGAGGAGGTGGCCCTACCACCTCCATGCCCCCTCGCGTGCCCCCAGCTGTCGCCTCACCATGCGCTGTCGCTCAAGGCCTTGGTGAGGCCATTTCCTGTGACGGTTGCAGAGGCGGGAGATGGGGGGGATGGGCAGAGGAGGAAGGAAACACCCCCGGCCTCCCTCCCTGGACAGAGACCCCAGACACCAGGATGAACCTGGAAGGGGAAGGACCAGTGAGTAGGAGCGGGTCCTGCTAGGGGCCAGCAGCCCGCAGGCCAACTGGCCCACCCGGTCCCAATGCTGCAAGAGGCCTCAAATTTCCCGTTCAGAGAAGGCCCGCTGGCTAGACTCAGAGGTGCCTTCTGTGAGCCTCTCTCCAGTCGACACGGAGCACATGGGCTGTGTGTCCTCCAGGGACACACTTTGGGCTCTGACAACGTCTTCTCCCCTTTCTGCCTCCTTCTGGATTCCTTCCTATCTTCACCCCCAATCTCAACCCCTTGCTCTAACCCCATACTGCCCACTCCCCTGGGTCCCCTGAAGAGACCTTGGCCTTCCCACGGTGAGAACGACAAAACTGCCTGGGGAACAGAAGACACTCCCAGTGAAAATAGGTGCCAGGGGGCAGAAGGTCTGCTGGGCCTGGGAGCCTCCCTCTGGCCGGTCAGGCAGGCCCGAGGTCTGCAGCTGAGAGGCCCTGTCTTCCAGGAGAACCCCATGGCTGAGTGAGCCTCCCCTGCGCCCAGCTCCCACCCCAGCATGGTCCAGGCCCGTGGGGGGCGCTCCAGAGCACAGTCACTGACCTTGTCTTTGGGGGCAGCCATGACCCAGCCTCCGCCCACCAAGGCACCGGCCAAGAAGCATGTGCGGCTGCAGGAGAGGTGAGATCTGTCTTGGGAGGGAGGCCTCCCCAGCCCTGAGCCCCGTCTGCCCCTCCAGCTCCAACAGCTGAGTCCAGAGGGCCCTTGGCTGTTGACTCCAACCTGGAAAGGAGACCAGATGTGTTCGCTTGCACATCATGTACATGCCCTTTACTTGTCTGGGGCATCAATTCTCACATCCACCAGGCTGGGCTGAGCAGCACCAGAGCGGGGCTGTCTTGAGTCTGGATGTGGGTCTAGGCTTTAGGGCTGGGGCAGGAATGGGCAGAGGTGGGCAGATGGAGGGAGCGGCTGGGTTCCAGGCTGCCCTGTTCTGGCTGAGGAGGAAGACAGGCAACAGGGGACCGGAATCCTTCACTCCACGGGGCCTCTGGGTCAAGGGGAAGACAAGGAGCAGCCTCCTCAGACAGGACCCATAACAATAACAACTGTAGGAGGAGCTCATGTGCTCGGTGCTCACTGGCCCCGGTCCTGTGCTTGCAGGCGGGGCTCCAATGTGGCTCTAATGCTGGACGTGCGGTCCTTGGGGGCTGTGGAGCCCATCTGCTCAGTGAACACACCCCGGGAGGTGACCCTACACTTTCTGCGCACAGCCGGACACCCTCTCACACGCTGGGCCCTGCAGCACCAGCCACCCAGCCCCAAGCAGCTAGAAGAGGAATTCTTGGTAAGAACTCAGGGACCCCACCCCAGGTCCCTCTGCCCTCTGAGTCAGAGGCAGCCAGCTGGCACTATTCTGTCCTGGGCATGGCAGGCATGTCTCCTCTTTGGGCCCTTAGGAAAGAGGACCCCAAGGCTCATGGGAGGAGACCGCTCCTGCTCCCTCTTCTGCCCTCCACCCCATCCAGACCTACATACAACGCCAGGAGGGAATGGCTGGCCCTGCTCTGCTATATGAGGGGGGAAGGGGAGACAAGGCTGGGGAGGGGTGTCAGCTGTTCACTGTTTCCTCCCCCTGCCAGAAGATCCCCTCAAACTTTGTCAGCCCTGAAGACCTGGATATTCCCGGCCACGCCTCCAAGGACAGATACAAGACCATCTTGCCAAGTAAGCACTGCGGCCGGGACCCAGGGAGGCCGCGCTGTCCCTAGGGCTGGAGAGGTTCAGAAGGCAAGACACACAGCCTCCACCAGGGATGAGCCACCTGACCTTCAGCGTCTTCTTCCCACAAAGAAATTCCAAAATCACGCCCTGGCTGGGGGAGGGGCAATAACCATACCCCAGTGAGAAGACAGCCACTCATATTTCAGATGCTTCCCGTGGGCCAGGCACTGCTCAGAGTCCCTTAGGGTAACTCATTTCTCACAATGACCCCACAAAGTTGGTATTATGGTATGATTATCCCCAATTTACAAACAAGGAAACTGAGTCTCAGAGAAGCTGCATAAGTTGCCCGAGGTCACACAGCTAGTTGCACCAAACCTTCCTCCTCCTCTTCCTCCCTGTGGCAAATGCCCAGCAAGGGTTTGCAGAGGAAGAGGCACCATCAGGATGGCTCCCTGAGAGAAGACTTTGGGAAACTCCATGGAGGCAGAGCGGGGATTGCAAGAGAGCAGTGACAGGCTGGAGATGGGGTCACAGAGTGAAAGGGTTGACCCTGCAAGCTCGACAGGCCTGGGCAGCAGCACCTCCTGTGGGTCAGAGGCGGGCTGAGGGCCCGGGGGACTCTCCTTCTCTCCCCTCCTCTCCCCACACAGCAGCCTCACCTGGGCACCCACCTCCAGCCTGAGGCCTCGGCTCCCTGCTCCTGCCGCATTCCAGTGCCCAGGTCCCAGCCCTCTGCCTGCACGAGGGTCAAAGGCTGTCAGCACCCACCCAAGTGGAGGCAGAGGGAGCAGCCTTGCTCTTGGCCTAACTGGAACCAGCTTGAAGCCAGAGAGGGGGAGGTCCTGTGCCTGAGGCTCCCCGGCACCCTGGGTACCTCTGTCCAGAGCCGGCCGGCTGGGAGAGCGAGTCCCCTCTCCTCTCTTCTCCTGACAAGCCAGCTTCTTCACCCTGCTTGGACTGGGTCTGGGGAAGCCCTCCCCCGCAGCGGGAGGTGGTGAGGGGAAACCCGGGGTCTAGGGCTACTTCTCCGCTGTGACTTTAGACAAATCATCTGAATCCCGCATTCACCGTCAGAAAAACTTCTCCCTCCACAACATCTCTTTCTCCATTCCTATGGGCACAATCCTATTCTCCACCCTTACTGGTCTCAAGGCTGGACCGTTGCCGTAACATCCCGTTAGGTCTCTGCTTCTCCGTCCCGTTCCTCGCTGGTCCACCCTACACAGCACCCCCACTTTACCTTCCCAAGTCACGCCACTTAGATCATGCCACTCTACTGCTCAAAAGCATTCTGTGGCTCCTATCGTCTGTGAAACCACCCTTTGGGTACCGGGCAGCTGGCTGTACCTCAGGGGCTATGACAAGCGCAGAAGCCCTGCTCCTCCTGGCCCTGTTGGAGTCGCAATGGTCACCTTTTGGCCTCTGATTTCCGCTGATTTTTATCTCCTAGATCCCCAGAGCCGTGTCTGTCTAGGCCGGGCACAGAGCCAGGAGGACGGAGACTACATCAACGCCAACTACATCCGGGTGAGTGACCCAGCCCCGGCTGGGGCAAGGAATGGGGGACCGAGAGAACAGAGCAAACGTTAAACAACGCCGAAAAGGAGAGACCACCCAGTCTCCTTACCCCAGCCTGCCCACCCTATAAAGGAGGAGGAAGGAGCCATTGTTGAACCCTATCGCCAGCCTCTCGAGGGCTAATCGCTCCCGAGCTCTGCGTGGCAGGTACCAGCACCCACAGGAGCTCTCAGCTGTCCCCCTTCCTGCCTCTTTGGCCTTAACTGGACCCCAAGCAGCCCCTTTTTGTGGAGATAGTTTAACAGCAAGCTGTAGGAACTGGGAAGCAGCTTCACCCACCTTCAACCTCCAACAGCCCCAAATAGATGTAAAGCAACGCTCTCTAGTGGCTCAAAGTGGGCAGGACAGCGGGCAGAGGTGAAAAGCCACTTGCCAGGGACACCATGGGGAATGTGACCTCCCGTTGGTGGCAGAAACCCAGTGGACAGGTGCTCCTCCATCATCTTGAGGAGCAGGAAGTTGAGGATTCTGAAGGGGAGAGCGAAGGGCTGGCGAGGGTGTGCTGCATCTTGCTACTAAATATATAAAAGTAATATGTAAAAGTGAAACATTCATTCAACAGATACACTGTTTTCTCATTTTGTGCAAGTAGAAAGCAGGGGAGGAAAGGGAGACAGGGCACAGAGGACCTGATCCATGCTAGACTCAATATACTTTGTTAAATTTAATCTGCGCTACGTTCATGCAAGATAAATATTATGCTCAGTTTACGGATGAGAACACTGAGGCTATGGAGCTAGAGAAGCTGCTTATGGTGGCACAGCTGGTGAGCAGAAGAACGGGGATTTGAACTCAGATGTTCCTCACTCCAGAACCTGTGTCCTTTCCACCATGCGGCTTCTGGATGTGTGCTTTTGTGCGTGTGTGTCCACGTGTGTGTTCACAGCTTCAGCCTGGTCCTGGGACCTGCAGAGTCCGGGATTCCCAGAGCTCCACACTCAGCGCTTCCCCGTTCCTTCTCCTGTGCATTCCCCTCCCAGGGCTACAACGGGCAGGAGAAGGTCTACATTGCCACCCAGGGACCCATGCCCAATACCGTGGCAGACTTCTGGGAGATGGTGTGGCAGGAAGAAGTGTCACTCATTGTCATGCTGACTCAGCTCCGAGAGAGCAAGGAGGTAGGAGGCAGACCACAGCCCTGGGGACCTCAGAAAGGGCTGCACCCCACCACACACATGCCCCTACTCAGGGCAGCTCAGGACCAGGGTCTCCCTGGGAGCTGAGAACATCTGTGGCCAGGCCCAGCGTGCAGCTCTCAGAAAAGTCCCTGAGATGCACCCACGGAGGCTGTGCACAGTCAGAACGTGGGGTGGGTGAGCACTTCACCTGCAGGCTCCAAGCTCCGGAGACCCCGGCCCGGTGCTGACCCTGCAGTCCCTGCTCCAGCTGATAGACCCTCCTCCCTCTGACCTCCTCTCCCTCCCTCCTAGAAGTGTGTCCTCTATTGGCCCATGGAAGAGGAAACCTATGGGCCCTTCCGGATCCGTGTCCAAGATGTGAAAGAGTGCCCAGAATACACCGTGCGGCAGCTCTCCATCCAGGTAGCGTCCTCGGTGGCCAGGCCTGGTCCCCAGGGAAGTCGGGACACCTCCTGCTTCTCTGGAACTCAAGTCTAAACCTTCTTGAACCCACACCTAAAAGAAGTGCTGGAGGCCCAGAAGGAAGAGATCCGTGGGCAACGTCCTCAGGGAGCCTCTAGTCTAATAGGGCAGAGCCACCAGGAGCTCTCCGTCTCTGCGGAATGGGCCAGGAGAGGAGAGCTGGGGTCCCGGGGTCCCGCTGCGGGAGCCACAGGAGGTCCATAGAGACGTAATGACATAGTGACACACGTAAAAGTGCTTTAAACGTGCGTGCCCTCTATTAGCGTAGAGTGCTTTATACTTTTCAAAGCATTTCTCTATTGACTCGTTACCCTCCAAGCATCCTGGGAAGTAAACCAACAAGACTTGACTGTCCCCATTTTCTGAGTGAAGAAAATGAGGTTAAGAGGCTTGCCCAAAGTGGGGTGCTAGTTGCAGGCAGAGCCAGGACCTGAGCTAGGGTCCTTCCGCTCTCCCTGACGCTGTTTCTTCCGGCACCTCAGAGGAGGGAGCAGTGGGGTGTGATGAGCGGGAAGAGGCTGGCCTGGCCTGCTCGGGCCGTGGCTGCCCCACGGGGACTCCAGCCCTCGCCCTCCTCCGGCCCCAGAAAAGAGGGCGGGCAGTGCCCCCGCCTGGCCCCTGTTCTCAGGCCTGTCCCCATCCTAGCACCAGGAGGAGTGCCGGGCAGTGAAACACGTCCTCTTCTCGGCCTGGCCTGACCACCAGACCCCGGAATCGGCAGGGCCCCTGCTGCGCCTGGTGGCTGAGGTGGAGGAGAGCCCAGAGACAGCTGCCAACCCAGGGCCCATCGTGGTCCACTGCAGGTAGGTGGCCCCTCCCCCCACGGCAGCCAGTGGGCCAGGCTCCCCTTCCCTCCCCACGGGTCTCTCCTGGGAGGGGCTCTAAGCAGAGTAGGCCCAGCAGGCCCAGCTCTCGCTGGGACAGGAAGCTCTAGGTTACCCAGCCAGTGCTCTGTTCTTCTTCCTTCCTGCATGCAGAACTTGGACGTCTGGGCTGGAAACCCCAGCCTGCTGGGGGAGGAGGGAAACCTGGTCCCTGCTGTCAGGGAACTCACACATTCATTCAACAAATGTTTGTTGAAAACCTGTTATTGTCGGTCACAGAGTTAGATGCTAAGGAGACAGGCTTCTGCCCTGACAGACTTTCCGTCTAGTGGGAGAGACAGCAGACAACACAATCAAACACACAGTGGGACAGACCTGTGATGGGGCTGTGTGCACAGCACAGAACCAAGTCGCCCCACCCAGACTTTGGCCAGGAGGAAGGACATCTAAGCTAAGACCTGAAAGGTGAATTAGCCAAGCGAAGAGGGGAAAGAGGAAGCATTCCAGGCGGATGGAACAGCATGTGCAAAGGCCCAGAGATGAAATTTAAAAACGGACACATTGCTAGGAGTAGAGTTAAAGAGCGGGCGCCTGGCCGTGATGTGGGGGGACAGTGGCGAGAGATGAGTCTGGAAGGTAAGTGAAGCCCAGGTGGTGAGGGGCCTCGTAGGACTGGCTAAGAAAGTTGGATTTGCCACTTAAAAAGAATACTTTGGTTACAGAGTAAAACATGGATTGAGGTGGATTAGGGGTGATGCAGGGGACAAGCTGCAAACGAGGAAACCATCTGGGGGTGCAGGACCTAATGGAACACAGAGGCAGAAGTACAGACAGCATGGGCTCCTGACCCCCAGGGCCCTGGATGTGACTGCTGGGAGTCACCAGTGGCCTCCATCAGGGGTTCATGGGAAGGCTTCCTAAGAAGGGAGGCCTGAGAAGGTTCTGAAATAAAGGGCAAGACAGCAGAGTGGAGAGAGGACTGTGGGGGAGCCGAGGGTAAGGGCTGTGAAGACGAGTCTGTGGGGAGGAAGCTGTGGTTAGATAAGGCCAAGGGGTCAGCAAGCCCAGCGTGGTCCCGTCGGTGGGAGACCGCTGTGCACCGCCACGCAGACGAGAGCAGCTCACAACTCCACGGGGGCCGGAGTGTGGCCTGGAAGAGGTGTAGTGAGACCGGTACGATGCAGTCTCCTCCAGTGCCGGCTATGACCCTCAGAGGCGCTGCCACCTTCCTCCATCCTGTCCCCAGCCCAAACAGAGTGCCCTGAGCTCCTCCTGCTTTCTCTATCTGCGGCCTGGCCCCCACGTTCCCCGCTCACCTGGCCCCCGTATTTCCTGGTCTCCCGTGACCTCCCGTCCCCTCCCTGGCCACGTCCAGTGCAGGGATTGGCCGGACCGGCTGCTTCATCGCCACCCGAATTGGCTGTCAACAGCTGCAGGCCCGAGGGGAAGTGGACATTCTGGGCATCGTGTGCCAACTGCGGCTGGACAGGTGGGTCCATGGACATAAATAGGACCGAGAACATTAACCAGTGGCATCGGTGCCTCCCGGGGTCAGAGCAGTCACAGGCGCATGCCACCAAGCACTTCCTGCGAGAAAGGAAGGGGCCCCTTTCACTTAAAGACCTATTTCTTTTGCAACACCCAGGAGAGAATCTCCATCTAGAATTCTAGCTTCGGGCCTAGAATTAGATATGCCACTCTGTGGATTTCCCCAGGCCTTCCATCTCTTTTGTTTTTGTCTTGGTTTTTGCAAATTCCCTACTCAGGGGACTGGCGGGGGAATGGGGTGTGGTTGGTTCTAGACATGAGGCAGCCACAGGAAGTGCACCAGCACTATCCGGTTTTGGAGACAGGGGACCAGGCTGCAAATTCTGTCTTGCAGTTCCCTGAGCTGTCACTGTATTTCTCTGGGCCCCCCTTTCTTATCTAGAGAGAAACAGTGGTCCCTTCCCCAGAGAGCTGTTGTAAGGAATGAGTTAGCTTATGTGAAAGTGTTGGGGGAACATAAGAACCTAATATGCAAATATACAGAATTATTATTTTTACTTTTAAGGTTATTGGGAAGAGGAAATCTTGGGCTCAGGAACATTTCTGGCCCGGCCTGAGGAGCCAGGGCCTGGTTCTGCCCCAGGAGCTGCTGGTCAGAGAAGACCAAGCGCTGGGGTGGAGTGTCACCTCCTCGGCACAGCCAGTCCCGGACTCAGCCCTGAGGAAGGGGCGGGGAGCTTCCCTTGTGGGGAAGGTGCAAGGGGCAGCCAGAAGGGGCGGGAAGCAGAGGATGAAGACACGTGAAGGAGCTGACAGGTTCTCCGGAAAGTCAGGCTCTCCCTGCAGGACCGGGAAGACGTCTGCTCTGACCCTCCTGCGCTCAGGTCTGTGTGCTTCTCCTCACAGGGGCGGGATGATCCAGACTGCGGAGCAGTACCAGTTCCTGCACCACACCTTGGCCCTGTACGCTGCCCAGCTGCCGGGGGAGCCCAGCCCCTGACCCCTGGTGCCCTCCACCAGCCCAGGTGCCAACTTCCCCCAGGCCTGGGAAGCTGGGTCTGGGGAAAGTGGGCCTCATGGCCTGGGGTCCTCCTGGGTGGACATGGGAATGGGATGCCCCCTGGGTAAGCATGTGTGGTCACAGGAAGCTGGCCAGCAAGGACCGAGGCCAGACTCCAGGTCTTCACCGCTGGCCACTCCTCCGCTTCCTTTAGTGGACACTAGGGACAACCTCGCACGACCCTCGAGACTAAAAGATTAGAGCTGGTATTGACAACAGGTCTGAGAAAGAAGCCCAGGTGTCTGATTTGCTATAAAACCTCTAGGAGCTTCAGTCTCTTCCTCTATGACATGGACACTAAGTGCTCTGCTGCCATAAGGGGAAAACAATCAGAGAAGATCCTAGAAGCCGTTCTAGCTGTATCCCCTTCCTGGGGCCAGCAAGAGAGTGATCCCAACATCATCCTCCACGGGGCCCTGCCCAAGGACAGGCCAAACGCCAGAGCTGCGGACAGTCTGGTCCTGACCTCGGTCAAGTTCTCAACATCCTGGCGGTGACTCTGTGCTTCCTCACCCCATACCTATGATGGCTGAATACCCCCCAGAGAGAGCCACGACCCAGACTCCTCCTGTGCCCACACACGGGTCCTGGGAGCATGCTACAGAGGGGACCAGGGCAGGCAGCTGAAATCTCTGGGAGAGGGAAAGTGTGGGGACCCTCACAGGCCCAGAGGGCCACGCTGCCTCTGTAATTGCTGGCTACTCACCCCAGCTGCTCCCTAGGGAGGCCCAGCATCCTGTCTTCCTTCCATGACCTCAGAAGATACCCTGGATACCCAGGAAATCCAGAAGAAAGGAGAGAGGAGACGAAGAGCTTGGCCTGACTGTAGATAACTGGCCCCTGTGCGGCGCTCCGCTCCCTGCGTGTGCAGAGGACACCTGGAGAGCGTGGTTGTTTCCATGCACAATCTGGGTTAAGCCACCCGGGGCAAAGCTGGGGGCTCAGACTGAACTGGGACCCTGGATTTATCTCAGGGCACCCCGGATTTATCTCAGGGCTGACATACACACACCAGGAAGCCATCAAACCCTTTGTCCTTGAATCCAAGATGCGCTGCCCACGGGGATGAAGGAGGCACCCTCCCTCCAGGCACAGAGCCCCTGGGGTCTGCCTCTGCTGATGCCAGTTCTCTGTAGAGCCTCCAAGGAGCTGGAGCCTGGAGAACAGCTGGGCCTCCTCATTCCTGACATCTCCTCTGAGGAACATGCAGCTTTGAAACCGAGGCTAATTTTCTTCATGCTTCCGCTTGGTCTTACTGAGGAGCTCGTCCCTCCTTACAGCCCTGGGAGGTGCTCCCCCACACCTGCACCTTCCCCAACCCCTACGAGGCGCTCACCGTCTGAGCCCGGGAAGCTGGGCAGACAGCCCTCAAGTGCCTGAGATGCCCTGAGCTTGGACCTGGCCAGGAGGGAGGCAACTGCACAGGCCCCTTTCCCTGGGCGCTGTGGCCCCAAGCCTGTTCCAGAACTTAGAGAGTGCGGCTCTGGAAAAGTAGCCAAGTAGGAAAATAAAGAGTTCTTAGATGGCTGATTCACCCCTTCTTTCTGTCTTCTCCTCAGGCCTCTGGAGCCTCTTTATGGCAATAGAGAGAGAGAGAGAGAGCCCATAGGCCAGGAGCAGCTGTAGACCCTCACCCCGGGGTGTGCAATCTTCTAGTTCTTCCAGGGGCACGTGAAAGGAGGTGAAACGGGAGGCAATTTAGGAAATGGGGCAGAGGTGAACCTTAGGAGCCAGAGAGGGACTTAGAAAGGGCAGAATAGGAAGACAACCCTTCATGACCCAGAATATTATGCTGGGCCGACGCTGGGACTCCTCTGCTTTGGCGACCGTCTACTCTTTGGGGCCGTCTGGGGAGGTTTGACAGATGTGGTTGACATTGATGGTTTATGCACCTTTGACTAAAACAACAGACTACATGTGAGGAGGTATGAACACCAAATTCTCAGGAGCACCCAGCATGGGGTGGGGACTGCCTGAAGCCTGGATTCTCAGGGTACCGCCCACCCAGGCTCAGCAGGCCCTGTGGTCAGGGCCTCTGAGGCAGGGGCATCTTGCCAGGCCCTACACATCCCCATCATCAGTTCCTCCCGAAGAAAACTTTGGCTTTTACCAAAGCAGGCCAACTTTCTCATTTGCCACAGATCCTCCTCACTGGAGCCCTCCTGGCAGGATTGTATCCTAAGCATCTTGGTGATCCTAGTGAAGATCGGCATCAGCCTCAAACAGCCATTGCCTGTGGGCCAGAGGCTGCCTAGACAAGTGGTTCTGGTAAACCGCGGTTCTCGAAACAAGATGGAGCATGGGAACACCGAAAGACACGGTTACTCTCGGCTGGGAACATTTTGAGAGGATGAGACTGGGTACCCAGAGATGCTCAGAGGCAAGAGTTCAGGGGACAAAAAGCCTCCCTTTCACAGAGATCTCATCTTCCTGTCCTGGAAAGTGGGTGAACCACCCTTCTTCACCCTGGACATGTTCCTGCTTAACGGGGACCTCACTCGCCTCGGCCCCACCACACTTTAAGGGAGGGTATGCCATAGCGCGCCAGCCTGGGAAGGGAAAAATAGAATTAGACCACTTTCCCCAAGTGCCCCCTACGCCAGCTGCGGGTCGGGCCCTAACCGGAAGCCCACCACCATCCCAGCCCGAGGGAGGAGCACGCGCTGGGGCACTAGCAGGACGCAGGAGGGTGGTGGTGGTGACGGGGGTGGGGAAAGGGAGGGGAGGAGGGGTTGGAGGAGGAGGAGGGAGAGCAGGGAGAGCAGGGAGAGCAGGGAGAGGAGGGGTCGGAGCAGTAGGAGGAGCAGGAGCGGGAGGAGCAGGAGGGCGCGGAGGCCACACCCATCGGCGAGCCGCTCCGGGCGCGAGTCGTCGGCGCCGCGCTGAGCTCCGCCCGCACCGAGCAGCGGGACCCGGGCCGCACCGGGAGGGGCGCCGCGACCATGATCGCTTTGTTCAACAAGCTGCTGGACTGGTTCAAGGCCCTGTTCTGGAAGGAGGAGATGGAGCTCACGCTGGTCGGGCTGCAGTACTCGGGCAAGACCACCTTCGTGAACGTGATCGCGGTACGCGGGCCGGGGCGCGGGGGCCCGTCTCCGCCCTGCTGACCGGGTCTCCACCCTGCACGGCCGGGGCGCCGTCTGCATGGCCGGGCTCGGCCGGGCGCGGGCGGGGGGAGCGGGCCGGGTGCGCGGGGCCTAGCACGGCCGTGGGGACCCGGGGCGCGACCCGCCTCCTACCCGGCCAGGATGGTGCGGCGCTGGGAGGGGACGAGGGGACCAGCGGCCCCGAAGGGTCACGAGGCGGGAGGGACCCGCTGGCGGCCGAGACAGGGCCCCCGGCCTCGAGCACGGGCCATGACGGGGCGAAAGCGCCCGGGCCTTTCCGCGTGCGGGGGGTCGCGGAACCGGGCGGACTGGGCGGCTTGGGGAGGGGGCACCGGGTGGCCAGCCCCACCCCGAAGGCTTAACCCCTGCTTGCCGGAAGAGGAAGCCCGGAGCTCGGCGTGGGGGGGCATCCTCGCGGTGGGGGAATCAGCTGAGGCCTTTGGCCCACGCCCAGGCTCCTCCTCTCCAGGAACCTCCGGTCAGGCGGCTCTAGCAGGGGGTCCCGGGAGGACGGCATCTTTCGGGGAGTTTGGTCTCCACCTGCTCAGAAGTTGCAAGAGGAGGTGCCCCGGCACAGAGGATGAGCCTAAGGGGCACTGCCCACTCTGGGGACCCAGGAGGGTCTGGCTGTGGGGCTTTGGTTAGTAGGACCTAGGTGGGCGATTGTAAGTCTTTCAGGGCCAGGGGACTGGTGGGGAAGGAGTTAAAATCTCTTTCTCAAAAAAAAGAGGAAGATGAGCTTTCTGGGTGTGAGCTGAGGCTGCAGTCACCGCTGCGGCCTGCATTTCAGAGCCCGCGTGTCGGGGCTTTTGGGTCTGAGAAAGGCTGGGGCAGAGGCTGGGGTTGTCCAGGGACCTGGCCCCAGGCTCCAAACTGGGGTTTCTGAGACTTGTTGGTTAGCCAGATACTGGCCCGGAATGGCAAGGAGATGGGTCAGCACAGAAGTGTGGCCGGCCAGCCGAGGTGCCTCCTCCTGCCTATGTTGTCGCCCATCCTGCAGAAGAGGCCTCCGGACAGCGCTCCGCATCCCAGAAGGGAGCACTGCCCTAGGCGGGAGGGCAGAGGCAAGGCTGGAGGGGCAGGTACCCCCTGATCACATGTGTGGGTACTGGCTTCCTTTCCCAGACATGTTTTGCAAGTGACCTCTGCCCCTTCCTCCACCCCGTGGCTCCTGGCTCCTCATCTGACTTTGGGCCCATGGGTGGGATCTTCAGGCTGGTGCTGGGGTTTGGGCATGATGGTATCAGGGCCCTCCTGCTTAGACTGGGCCTCGACGTGGGCTCTCGGCTCCCTGAGCAGGAGCACAGCAGCTGGACTCTGATCCTGCGGGCCTGGGTGGCTCGGTTTCTAGGCGTTTAGATCTGGAAGCTGTCTCTGGGGTGAGGCCAGGAGGAGAAACAAGTGACTGCTGCCCTGGTGGCTCAGCCGAGGTGTCACCTCCAGTCTCCGGGGAAGCTCTCCTCCTGGAGCGTTTATTGGAGCCATGTCCTGGACAGGAATCCACGGGTACCCAGGTGGGTTCCGTGTCTTGGTCAGGAGGGTCTCCTCTAGACCAGCATGATAACAGAGTGGGCCGCTCCAGCAGGTCAGGAACAGAGCTCTGGAGTGACAAATTCCACTGCCAGGAACATCTGTAATGTACAGGGAAGGCCCCCCAGCCCCAGCCCATGTGTTCCCCTTTTTGGTATTAAATTTCTCGCTTCAACTTGCAGATCCTAAAAGTACAAGCTGACTTTCCTTCTAACAAGACTTCCCAAGAACAACCACCCCTGGGGGCTGCAGTGGGCGCCCCAGCATCAGGGTGACCCTGTGTTCCCGGACCCTCTGGGGCCACCACAGTGGCGTTTCTGCCCACCTGCGTGTCGTCACAATCGCGTGTCTTTCAGAAAGAAACCAAGAGTCGGGACCCCTGGACCCTGCCCCCGTGCCCACCTCTGACTCCACATCACCTTTGCCTGCCCATTTGGCCCCTGTTTGTCTCAGCTTTTCCCTCATTTGGCTTTTTCTCCTCACTCTGTGAGGTTGGACTGTAAATAGAAATTGACTTTATGTGTCTGGCTGCTCCTCAGGCTAATTAAGCCGGAAAGAAATTATATAGAGACTTTACAGTGCTTCTAAGAATGGAAACTGATCTTTTGACTTCTGAAGAAGTTGTGATGCTAGAAAGTAGATGTTTTTCCTGAGGGAAGCAAGAGGACCATTTTCAAATATTTAAAAGTGTAAAGGACTGTCCTATGGAGGAGCTAGTCTTGGGGTACCCAGGGGTGAAAGTTATAGGAAGTTGGACTTTTGACTCATTGTGAAGGACTTTTAGAGAGTTGGAGCTGACCAAGAGGGCGTGAGCCAGAGGGCATTCAAGTATTCAAGTCTGACACGAGAGGTTGGCCCGGATGACTTAGGGTTACTTGTGACCTTAAATGAGGAGCTTGTGTTGGGGGGCATTAGCAGAGAGATGAAGTCATAAGCTGGTTCCAGTTTAGCTCTGACTCACAGCTGCACTGGGACCACTGGGACCCAGAGCCTGGCTCCCTGAATGTCCTCATGCGTCCCCCTTGGGCCAAGATCACAGCTGCTAGGCTGGGCTTTTTGTTCATGCGGGAGCCAAGAGCAGTGGAGGTTCCTCACGCTGCGTCCAGATCATTTCCAGGCACTCTGAGAGCCTAATCCACCAGTCTCCAGGAAGCCAGAGCCCTTCTCCGCATTTCACAGAAGAAGCCTGAGGCCCAGAGAGGTCAAAATGTCTTGTCCCAGCTCCTCCACAATGGGGACGACAAGAACTGGGCTTCCGTCCTCAGACTCTGTGTCCCTGAGCAGCCGCCGGGGCCGAGGTGGACTTCATCCAGCAGGGCCCCACCCCCGCCCGGCCCCTGCCACATCTGGGTGTTGAGACCGCGGGCGGTCCTGCCTGCTTGGCCAGGAGAGGAGCAGTCCTCCCTGGGGACTCTCCCTTTTCTTCAGGGACTCCTAACTTTTAGGGGCTCTTGGACCATTTGGTATCTGATAAAATTAGAGACGCTTTCCCCAGAGAAGTGTACGTGCAGACAAAACCTGGCCATACACATTGTGTGCAATTGCTGGGGGTCCCAGGACTCTCTGAGCTCATCTGTGGCCCCCAGATTAGGAACCCTTCTCCACCCTGTCATGAACGTCAGTTGTAGGTCCTCAGTTCTCACCTCCGAGGGCCTTGGTGACTGAGTTTGGGGGATTCCTGCAGATAAAAGAGATCACTCACTCATTCAGATGGGACCTCGGGGTCTTCCTCCAGACTTACAGGCTCTGAATGGGAGGCCATCATCTCCCACCCCTTGGCCAATAGCCAGAGCCCCTGACCTCTTTATGTGACCTGAGGCAAATTCTTCCTCCCACCTGGAAGAAGCAAATGGCAGGCAAAGGAACAGCGCTGTCCCCTCAGGGTCAGGTTAGGGAAGCCCCATCTCTAGCCTGGTCTGGGGGTGAGCAGAAGTGTCCTTCATGTGAACATGCAATGACCTTGGGAGGACCTTGGTCTGGCCTTATTTGAGGGCTGTGACTAGTCCAGAACAATCTAGAGATCTTGGAGACAATGTAGAGGGGAGAAATAAAAATTATCAGGATTTGAAGATGGCCTATGGGAAGTGGAGTTACAGTCAACTCCTAGTTATTCAGCAAACATGTACGAATGTTAATATAGACACGTTCCTCTCTGCAAGAAGTTCTCCATCTGTTGGGAGACACAAAAGTCAACAGATCATACGGACTGTGGATTATCCATCCTAACAAATGGAGTGTAGACAAATGAGCCCAAATCGCGGATAATCCTGAAATTGCTTGCGTGCACTGCATTTTGGGGGTGGCCGATTTACCTTCCCAAAAATTTTGAATTGAATGTTTACTGCCAGTTTGAAAGTCCATTTGCTCCCCTTGAGGTCCCCTTGGCTGTTTCCTGGGGCTGCGCGGGTTCCTCTGCTGGGGGTAGACTGCTCTTCTGCTCCACTGGAGTCTAAAGATGGTAAAGAGGATTCTGTTCCAGGAGAGACGCAGGTTAGACCTCAGAAAGGATTCTCTGGGCTAGGGGAGAGGCTGTGATTGCCTGAAGAAGACAGGCCTCTTCATTCACGGGAGAGCTCCGGGAGCGGGTGGATACCAGGGTCGGTTACGGCTGGTCCTGCCGGAAAGCAAGGGACGCTTCAAGAGATGCCCCCTGACCCCAGGCACACCTGAGAAGTCCCGGCCTGGCCTCCACGTTATTCTTGAAGCCTCTTGGTCTGGGGTCATCGGGGACGGCTCGTCGGGGTCCTGTTGATTTTTGCCCCTTTTCCAATTCTGGCTCTTCCTTCTAGTCAGGACAGTTCAACGAGGACATGATCCCCACTGTGGGTTTCAACATGCGCAAGATCACCAAAGGGAATGTGACCATCAAGGTGAGGGCAGGAAGCCGAAACTGTGGGCATGAGTTAGGGGGCCGCAGAAGATCGTGTGTGTGCGCGCGTGCACGTGTCTGTGCGTGTGTGGTGTGTGTGTCTTGGGGTGGGGGGTCCCGCAGGAGTTGGGGGAGCCCGCTGAGCTCCTGGGAGGAGAAGCTAAAGGATAGCAGAGGCGAGTGGGCCGGGCAGTGGGCAGTCAGAGGGTGGAGGGAGGAGGACTCCGGGGCAGAGGAGCCCCGGTGGGCGAGGCGGGGGATGGTCAGTTAGGAGGGGTAGGGTAGGTGGTAGGGCCAGTCACTTGGAGCCAAGAGGGGTTTGGTTTCTTGTCCGCTGCTGAGATGTCTCCCTGCCTTCTCGCCCAGCTCTGGGACATTGGGGGCCAGCCCCGATTCCGCAGCATGTGGGAGCGCTACTGCCGAGGAGTGAGCGCCATCGTGTAAGTGCTGCGCGGGTGCCGTGGCCTCTCCACCTCCCTGGGCCCCAGCCTCACAGCCTGTGCAGACCCAAGTGGATTAGTCCTAATCCCAGTCCATGACGCCACGCCAGCACGGCCGCCTTCACTGGGCCCTGCTCTCTTATCTGGTACACGCGCTGGGCCCTGCGCCGGTCTGCAAACCAGGGTTCAGGTGGCACCTGTGCGTCCTCGTTGTCCCCCTGCCTCCCCCACTCAGAGTCATAGCTCTCCTGAATTTTGTGCAATTTAAATGGTTCATTCCCTTACTCTTTAAATATAATTTTATCCTACATATATATGCCCAAACAAAAGATTATTTGGTTTTCCTTGTTTTTAACCTGACTTTTTAAAAGTATCTTCCTGCAAGAAAATCTTCTGGGGCTTCCTTTGGTTTTTTCACTCAACCTTATCTGGTATTCCCATGAGAACATAAGAGGGTCCCTTTGGGAGGGACTTGCGTCCAACCCTAAAGGGTCCAAGCTTTGCACGTGGGTAGCAGCTTCTCCAGAGGGGACTTCGGGGGTGGGATAACAGCAGCGTCCCTGCAGCTTTTCACTCCCATCCATTCAGAAAATGTGCCCTGAGCATCTGCCCTGAGCAGGCCCAGGGAGCCCAGACATGCAGAGGTGAGTGAGCGGGAGCGAGGCATTTTCTCCTCTGAGCAGCAGCTCCTTCTCTTCCCTCTCAGCCTGTGGTGTCAACACACCTGTCCTCCCCCCCCCCCACCGTCCCCCAGGTACATGGTGGACGCCGCTGACCAGGAGAAGATCGAGGCCTCCAAGAATGAGCTCCACAACCTGCTGGACAAACCCCAGCTGCAGGGCATCCCGGTCAGCCAGCCTGGTGGACTGGGAGGGGCAGGGGCTGGGCGCAGCAGCGGGGAGAGGCAGTGGGGCGGCTGCTGCCGGCCCCTCACCTGGACACCCGGCCTTGTGCCCCCTCTCTGTAGGTCTTAGTCCTGGGTAACAAGCGGGACCTCCCGGGAGCATTGGACGAGAAGGAGCTGATTGAGAAAATGTGAGTTTGGCGACTTCTCTGTCCTTGCTCCCTGCTCCCCAAATTCCCCAGGCACCGAGGACCAGCGGCTGGCTGCTGCCTCCAGTGTCCACCACATGGTGGCAGCAGAGCCCACCTTTCCGGGAGCCCCGCCCTCCCCGTGTGGCCCCAGCGACTCTGCTCTGGTTCCCCCAGGAATCTGTCTGCCATCCAGGACCGGGAGATCTGCTGCTACTCCATCTCCTGCAAAGAGAAGGACAACATTGGTGCGTGGGCTTGGGGAGTAGCCGTGGGCCGGGAAGGAGAGGACTGGAGAGGAGAGGCCTCCTGGGTGTCTCCGTGCTGGCTCTCAGGGTTCTGACTCCTCCACTTTCCTGGGAGCCCCAAGCTCTAGTTCCCGCCCCCCCCGGGAGGACAGGCAGCCGGAGGCCAGATGCTGAGCGTTATCCCTGCTTTGCCATCAGCTGGTCCTGTGATCTTGGGCAAACCACTCCCGTCCTTGGGCCTTAGTTCCACCGGTAACGTCACATGCTTGGTGGGCGATTCCCAGGCCCTTCCAGCTCTGACGCCCCAGGCTCGTCTCTTTCACAGCACCCAGGCGCCCCACCGCCCATCTGGGGCTCTCTGGAGCTTGACAGCTCTGGGCTTCTTGTGCCCTTGGAGCTGACCTGGCTGCAGTTTTGGGGGCCCTGGGCTCCACATGTCTACCTCCCTGGCGGGCCCAGCAGGGGAAGCCCTGTAACCTCTCTTGTCCCCCCCCAGACATCACCCTACAGTGGCTTATTCAACACTCCAAGTCGCGGAGAAGCTGAGGCCGCGGCCCTCTCCCTGGGACCAGGACCACATCCTCCAGACCTGACGCCGAGCTCCCCGCCCACCCCGCCACCCCCCGAGCCCTCCCCTCCTCACTGGGTGTGGGGCGGGGCCTCTGGGGATCCCAGAGTCCTGTTCTGCTGAGGTTGCAACTCCTGATTTTATTGTAAAGTAAACCGATCCCATTCTGCTCCCTAACCTCACCCTCCCCGCCTCCTCCCCAGCCGCCCTGCTTCCCTCCCTCAGCAGCCCTGGCCCCACAGCCCTTGCCCCTCCCTGGCCTGCTCCTCAACTGACCCTCCCCAGCACTCTTCTTACTGTCTGTGTGTACAGTATATATATGTATATATATTTTAATTTTTAATTTAAGCAAAGACTAAAATCAACCATTTGATGCTGCAGGGGCCAGTCAGGATCTGGGGGGGTGGTCTGGAGAGAAGGAAAGAAACGCGGGTTGGCTTGGGGCAGGTTCAGACCAGGAGGGGTGAAGGCTGGCGCCTGGGACAGGAGCCAGCCTGGGCACTGGTGGCCGTCCCCATGTCTGCCTGTTCCTGCTCCCAGTCTGGCTTGTCTCTGCAGCGCTTGAATGTCATGGGCTGATGGGAGCCTCCAGAGGCACCCTCTCAGCCCCCGTCTCCGCAGGCCACCAGGCACAACTAGGAGCCAGAGACCAGTGGCCGAAGGGGCAGGAGGCCAGCGTGCCCCAACCCTGGCTCCCGGCCCCCACCCCTCCCAGGCCCCCCCATGGGCCGTGTCATTCTCTGTGCTCATTTTGCAGAGCTGCACAAGGAGAGCACTCAGCAGGGGCTGGTCCTTGGGTTTTGTTTTCTGTTGTTCGTTTATTTAATGATTTGTAAAGTGACGTTCCTCTTCCTTTTTTACACTTTTCAGCTCATACTTAACCTCTGTTTGGAAGATGATTCTTGTAACTGTACATTTTTTTGCCTCCTAATAACAATGACAAGAATAAATTACCGATTTTGTGTTGGGGGGGTGTGTGGTGCCAATTATTTTTCCGTAGATGGCGTGGAACGACTGGCAGGCTGGGGACACCGGCGCACCCCCACACTGGGCACACACGGCCACAGAGAGGGAGGCACGTGCCACGCCAGGCACACAATGCCGCCTCACAGAGCCGCCTCCCGCGGGCGTGCCCGGCCTCCCGCTTCGCCCCTTTCTCCTTCTTGTTGCACTTTCACGAGGCCCCAGCCTGGAGTTTGCAGCTGCTGAGTGGAGCCAAGGAGGTGTGTTTAGGAACTGCCGGGGCCTGGGTCAGTGTGGCCAGAACCTGACCCTGCACCCCGTGTGTGCAGACTGAGCCAGTGTCCTTAGGTCACTTCAGGGCCCCACCTGCAGCCAGAACTCTGTCCGCACTCTCCTGGAGCCGGTTAATTGTCCTCCGGGGCAGTGCCGGGCCTGCAGAGCCTGATGGCTTCCCCCCCACATTTCTCTGTGGGTGTTCGTGCCACTGGTTTCCCGGGGGAGGCCGTCCCCTCTCTCCTCTGCCCAATTCCAGTCCTCCCCCAACCCAGCCTGGTTGCCCACAGCTGCTGCCTCAGAGCCTGCGGGCCCTGCGCACCCCAATCGGAGGCCATCTTGACCCAGTTTTACGGAGGCCCCGCCTCTCCCTGCTCCATCTCCCGCAGCCTCCCTTCACCCTGGAAACCGAACAGACCTGGCGGGACTCTCATCCTTCTCGACCTGCCTCACGGGAAGAAGGAGCCTCGTTCCCTGAGTTCCTGGGCCTGCCCGTTGGCTCTGAACCTCCCCTGCTCGTCCTTGGTCCCCAGTGCTTCCTCCTGGAGGCACCCTCTGGTCATCAGCGCTGTCAGAGATGTGCCTCACCCAGAGAGAGTCCTCGGGGCTAGAGGAGTTGGAGGACAGAATGTGGATAGAGTTTGGCAAATGGAGCTGAGTGATTTTAGAGTGACTTCTAACTCCTAAGGAAAAGGAGCTGTGCTCCCCAGTTAAGGAGGTTGAAGCTGGGGCCAGGCGGTCCCCTGTGCCCTCCTGGCTGCAGAGGTGACAGCGGTTGCCCCTGGCCTGGGAGGCTGGGAGGGGACCAACTGTCTCATTCATCTGGGGAGCAGGACGGGGCTGTTTCAGGGTCGACCTGGCTTTCTCAGGTCCTGCCTCTTCCAATGAGGGATGAGGTTTGAGATAAGGCGGGATGGGCTGGTCACCAGCCAGCGTCCTCCTGCCCGCACCTGCACACAGCAGGTGCCTGATGTGACTGAAAGAACTTGAAGTTGAACAGGGAGCAGTCCGTTCCTGTATGTAAATCGTCGTGTTGGGGCCCTTTGAACTGCCAGAGCCTGGGTGAGTTAAGGACGCCAGGCCAGGCCCGCTCTTTGGTGTCAGAGAACTGATTCCCAAAGGGAAGGGAAGAGGAGGAAAGGGCGCTCAGCATTAGGTGGGTGCTTGATGTGTGTTCTCATTTGGTGACTGTGGTCCTCCGTGAGGGAGGAAGCCAAGATCAGAGGTCAGTCACTGCCTGCAGTCTGACTTGCATGCACAGTGCATGTGCTCCCCACCACCGCCCCAGCTGAGGGGGCACTCAGTGCATTGCCCCCTCCCGCCTGCATCAGGGTCCGAGGGCTGTGCCCGGGGTGGGGGAGTGAGAATGTCCAGCTGCCTCTGAGCATCCCAGCTCAAGTCGACTGCCCACCCCTGTGCCAACCTGTCCCCCCACCCCAAGCCTGGGACCCCTCAGCAACAAATGCCACATTGTTCCCCCAGCTGGCCCAGGCTGGAGGGACAGTGGCTCTTTCCCAAGGCCCGGCTGGCCTGCTGACTAATCCTGCAGGCCATTCACGTCAGCAGGCCTGGGAGGCGGCGGTGGCGGGCGGGCCTCAGAGCCACCATCTCCCCACTTAATCTCTGAGCCGGCCAACCGGCAGCAGGGAGGGGCAGAGGGCACCCTTTGTGAAAGAGGCCCCCAAACAGGATGCTGAAGTGACCCCCCTCCCCTGCCCTTAGCCTTCTATCCTCAGCCACCTCCTGGCCCCAGACTTCACCTCGCTTCACCCCAGCCCCCTTCCTCATCCCATAGGAAGCTGCTGGTGTATTGAAGATGGGGGTGGGGGTGGCAGAGAAGGAGTGGGGGGTGGAGGAAATGGCCTTGGGAACGTCAGCGCACAAGCCTGCCTTTGGACCCCTCTCCAGCCTGCCCGCCCATCTTAAGTTTCTACAGACAAAGCTGGGGGCTTCAGTCACCGTGGCAACAGGTCTGCGGACAAATGGGTGGGTGTCGTTCCCCAGCACAGAGTATGCGCGTGGTAGCGCCATCACCTAGCAACGGCCTCCCTCTCTCTTGGCATCACTGTCCTGGGGGTGTGTGCCAGGGAGAGAACAAGGCCGCTAAGATCCTGGGAGAGGGGGAAGGAGGCCTGGCTACCAGGGGGCTGAGGCCAAGGGGTGTGGGTGGGATGGACAGAGGAGAATGGAGCCCCAGGCATCTGGCAGCCTCAGCCCCTCACCATCCCGGGCCCCTGGGGACACTTCTGAGGCCCCATGCAGACGTCCAGGTAGGCCTGGCCGGTGAAAATCGCCGGTGGGACCCAGAGCTGCACCTCAGAAGGGTGGAGAAGGGTGGCTCTTCCTCAAAGCTGGGCTGACAGGGGCAGGGAGTGATTTCTGGCCTAGGCTTCGGCATCCCTTCTGGTTGACCTTGTGCCAGCTTCTCTGGGCCCAAACAGGGGAAGTGGGCAGAACCTGGGCAGAACCAGGGCAGGAGCCGAAGGGTCTGTAGGGCCTGGGGTGGAGCTCGGGCTACACGGCAGGGAAGGGGTGTCGTGGGGCAGGGAGGGGGCAAGCAGGGGGCAGCCAGCTGGGCCGTCTTCAGGCACAACAGTCTGTCCTAAGAAACTGAACAAGAGTGGCTCTCAAAGTCAGGGGGGCTCACGGAGGGAGGGCTGCTGGTTTCCCTCGAATGGGTGCTTTGTGGGGAGGGAGGAGCCGAGGCGGGGGCTCCAGAGGAGATGAGTTTGCAGCCTTTGACTTCCCGGGGGCGGCTGGGCTCAGGCCAGGAAGAGGACCCAGCACCCCAGCTCCCAAGCCTTCTGTCCACTCTGCCGCTCAAGAGCCACAGGGCCACAGGGCTGGATGGGACGTCAGCCGCAAACCAAGAAGGGCCAAAATGGCCAGAAGAACCCCCCAAGGCACTGCGTGCCCAGGGAAGGTGCATCTGGGCGCTGCCAGGATGTGGCACAAGAAAGTCCAGTGGGATGGGGGTGGTTCTACCTCGTTTATTGCTTTTCACGAGGGCCTTCTACAGGAGAGCACCTAACGGGTGGGGACGGGGCAACCCAGGGAACCTCAAAGGAGGAGGAGAAGGGAGAGACATCCTCTGGAAGAAGAGAGGGTGCCAGGAGGAGGAAGCGTCCAGGGCTGGGACAGATCCCATCTGGAGAAGAGCCAAGCCAGGCTGGCCCCCAAAGAGCCCCCTACTCCAGGATGGGTGGGGGGCAGGGAAATGAGGCTTAGAGAGGACACAACTGAAGTATGGCTGGGTTCCAAGACAGAGAGAGGGAAGCAGGGAGGAACTGGGTGAAGTTCTGGCTCCGAGCTGGTGAGGCTGGAGCTTCTAGGCAGTTCCAAGGACCTAGAAGCATCCCCACACACTGGTTGAGAGGACAGGGCTGGGAGGCCCCACAGATGGCAGGGGAAGCCCTGCTTGGGGAGGGGGCTTTGACGGGCCCGAACCTCGACAAGAGGAGCCAAGTCCATCTCTAGACAGCAAGACCATGAGGACAGAAACAGGAGACGTGGGCAGGGGTGCCCCTCCCTGTCCCCCTCGCCCCCTCCCAGGCCTCCCCTCTGGGGCCTGGCCTCAGCAAGGTGTGCCCAGGGGCAGGAGTGGGGGCGACTCCCCGGGCTTGTGAAAGTAGATGGAGGAGGACATCTCGGTCTTGAGCTTGCTGTCCGAGCCGTCAGCGGCCGAGGCCCCGGAGGCCCCGCCACACTCATCGCAGCAGCAGCAGCAGCAGCAGTCCAGGAAGGCCTGGCCCAGCGGCCGGCAGATGCACAGGAGGAGCACGGGGGTGATGGCCCCCTTGAAGAAGGTGGAGAACTGGTTGATGAGGCCCAGGAGGTCCAGGGTCTGGCGGGTCAGCTCTGTGGAGAGGTAGGCCACCACGATGTTGCAGACGTTCTCGGGGAGGGTGCACAGGGCGTAGACCACGGTCAGGCCCACCACGGTGCTGTTGAGCTGGCTCTCGCACTGCTCGTGCTTGTCTGCCCGGCACTCTAGCTTCCTCCCCGGGGGGCCCCGCACCCGCCACGTCACTAGCTGGCAGGTGACCGTGAAGAGGATGGGCAGGCAGAAGTAGCAGCCGAAGTACCACCACATGCGGGCGTTCTGGTAGGTCATGACCAGCGAGTAGAGGGACTCGGGCAGGCTGGCGGAGGGTCTCATGATGCAGGAGTCCACGCTGCCCGTGGTGGGGGCGGGCTCCTGTGCCAGCTGCCACAGCAGGAGCTCGGGCATGGCCAGCGTCATGGAGCCCACCCAGATGACAGCCAGCTTGGCCAGGATGGACTGGCACCGCTCGATGGGCCTCACCTTGGGCAGGGTGCTGGTGGCCACGTGGAAGCGGTCGATGCCCAGGGCACAGAGGCTGAAGGTGGTGACGCCTAGAGAGGAGACCTTCGGGCAGAGATGTGGAGGAAGAGAGGAGCCGTCGTCAGACCCCAGGGGCACGGGGAGGGGCCTGGCTTCTGGCTCAGACCGGGAATTGAGTGTAAGTGTAGAAATGAGTCATAACAACCACCACTGAGTGAGCATTTGCTGCACATCGGGGGCTTCACACACATCATCAAATCCTCACAAGCAGCCATCTTGCAGAAGACCCTGCAGCCCAGGCTGGATGAGTGACCTGGTGGACGGCAGACTGAGGGCCCCACACGGACCACCTGACTCTTTCCACCCTGCTTCTCTCCCTCTTAGACAGCGGATGGATGGCCGGAGTCCCACAGACCCACACGCTCCCTGAGAGACTTGGAAAATCATCTCTAAGGAAGAACCCAGACAAAGACAGAGACATTCTGGGTCTTTGCAGGGCCTTCCATGCCTGCACCCATTGTGTGCATCGAGCAAATGGTCCTGGGAAACGTGGCTCACAGGCTCACTCACACACACTCACACACACACTCGCCTTCTTCGCCCGTCCGGCTGTGTGGGGAAGCAGCCCCCCTCCCAGTCGGCTTGTGTCCATCCTCCCAGCACGCTATTCATTGAGTGCACAGGAAAACCACCCTGTGAGCCCAGAGGAAGAAGCTCGAGCAGTGGAGAAGAAAGCGCTAGCGAGAATAGAGGAGAGAGCGTGCCTGAGCTCTGGATGATGCTCAACCACACTCGGGGATTGTGCTCAGACCCCCTCCTGTCCAAACTCTCCCTCTTCTCGCTGGGGGAACACAAGCCCTGGCTTATTAGCGCTGCCACCAAGTGTCCTTTTTGAGAACCTCCACCCCCTCTCTTGGCAGGGGAGCCCAGGCCTGCGGAGGAGGAGCCTTCGAGTTGGCCAAAAACACCACACTCTCTCCTTTCCCTACATCTCAAAAAATATCTCCAGTTTGATTCCAAGCTGCCTTCTCCTGCTCCCTCCTGGGTCCATCCTGAGATGCTCTCGATAAAGGGCCTCTGGGGCAGTGTATTTTGTCCCTCAACTCCCACCCTGTTACCCAGCCTAGAGGGAGGGCTCTGACAGCTCAGGGAACATCTGTCTCCTCTAGGAGTGAGGAGGGGGGCCCTATGAGGATTCAGGCCAGAGCCTATGTATTAAGTGTGTTGAGACCCACGGCCAGGATTTCACTGACTTTCCAACCACGCGTAAACAAGAGTTGATGTATGTCTGCCCCCCGCTTACACCATCCCCAGTAAAAACCACCATTTACAGAAGCACTGTATAGATATCACCCACTCAGTCCTTCAATAATTCATTCAGATAGTGATTATTATTATTACTTATTATCCCCTATTTACAGATGGGGAAACTGACGTTGAGGCAGGTTAAGTAACTCACCAAGGCCACTCAGTTAGTGAGGGCAAAGCCTGGCGTCTCCTCTAGTCTGCCTAGTCCCCGAGTCCTGTGTCTAACCTCTCACAGCTTACCCGGGCTCTGAGCACCAGATGATCACCAAGATGCAAAGGTCACCCCCAGTTGTAGGGTCTTCTTTCCAGTTTGGGTACACTTGGGCTACCATTACAGGGTCTCCCTGGGTTGGGAAGGACAGGAAAAGGGAAGTACCAACTGCTGGGCCTCAGAGATGTGTCCAAATATGAAATTATCACTAATACACAGTGAACTGGGGACTGAGTGGGGAATATGGCCTGTGTCCAGATGCCTGATCCTGATTCCTTTTCCACCCAAGCAGGTCACCCGTGTCACACAACATCGTCCAGTCCCAGAAGGACTAGCAGCCTTCACAGGGAGCCACAATTATTCCAGTCCTCATTATTACCCCCCGCATAGACAAAATTTAAAGACCACTTGCTCATTTTGTGTTCCTATCTGGACGCAGTGGCCTCGTTGTATCCCGCATAAATGCACATGTATTGGTGTGTTTTGCAATGTTTTGATTAAGCTGTCTCCATGTGATCTACACATACGTCAACACCCATGGACTTGTCTTAAGGAAGCTTCCAGAGACAAAGATAGTGGAACACTTTAGAACTGTAGGTCAGCCCAGCAGAAGGGCCATCTGGTCTACCCGCCTGATTGGGAACTAAGGAAACTGGAGAGGAGGAATGACTTGCCCAGTGACCCCCAGTATGTCAGTGACAGACTGATCCTGGGCCCCCCAGCCCCAGCGCCAGCTCCCAGAACCAGGTCTTCCCTCTCAGACAGGATTTAGGAGGTTGCTGCCGCTGATGGCTGCAATGACAACAATCTCAGTGAGAAGGGCCTTTCCTCCTGGCATTCATGTCCGCGGGGTGGGTACTGACATGATCTGGGGCTCCGTAGGAAACGGATCTCCCTCAGACACTGCTTAGGGAGGCAGGGTACTGAGGGGTAGAGAAAGGGAGCTGTGGGTGCAGGGCGTGGCCGTGGGCACGAAGGGAGGGAGACGAGATGCACAAAGGACAGAGATTCTTGGGTGGGAAGACAGGTGAGGGTTAAGGCAGGGGAGGAGCAGCTCGGAGTGTAGAGACAGGGGAGAGGCGCACCTTTCTCTCGAAGAAGGGGACCAAGCTGGGGCCCTGCACACCTGCCTGCCCCCAACCCCACCCCCCGGGCCTGCTTAGTTTACCCGAGAGCTACCAGGAGCCAACGCTGTATTTGTCTCCTTGCCCAGTTTGGAGAAGAAGGGAGACAGAACTCCGGGCCCCTGGGCTCCTGTGTCCCCACGCACCCCACCCCCAACAGCCAGATGGATTGCAGCTCCTGAGCACCAGCAGGAGCCATACTCACCTCCATGAAGGGCACGGCCCGGCAAGAAATGTCACCTAGCAACCTCTGCTTGGTGATCTCGTTGAAGATGACAACAGGGAGGCAGAAGAAGAGGACCAGGAAATCCCAGAGGGCCAGGCTCGCAAGGATGGAGTTCCAGGCGCTCTTCAGGTAGTAGCTATGCCACACAATGCACATGACAGACAGGTTGCCCACGATGCCCACAGCAAAGACCACCAGGGCCAGGAGCATGATGGAGTAGGCGCTGTAGGAGCTCTCAGTCACCGGGTACAGGGGGTTCTGAATCTGCAGCCTCTGGCCCGGCGGCCCGGTCAGATTGCCCCGAGGCTCCTGCCTGCTGCGCGGGATGCCCCCGTCCTTGTCTGGGGTGGGGCTGGTGGCCACCAAGGGCTTGGTGGGCTGCAGGCCAGCAGGGTGGATGGGCCGGGGGTACTCAGCCCACTCCTCGGGCGCATACTGCTGCACCCCCTTGGCCTCCTCGTCCTCGCTGCCTCTCTTGGACCGACTCTGCTGCTCCCAGGCCTCGGCTCTGTACCTGCCCAAGGGCAGGGGGGCTCCCCCAGAGACTCCACTCAGCCCTGCAGCTGACTCCACAGCAAGGGAGACAGCCAGCGGCCACAGCCACTGCATGGCCAGATGAGAAGGAGGCAGCCGCCCCACAGACAGCAGGTGAGGGCAGGGGACCCAAGTGCGGGGCTGACTCGAGAGAGGCAGCTGGCCGGCTGGTCCGCCTCCAGTCAGGCGTCTGGCATCGCCAGCCTGCTCCAGTGGACCCGGGCCGCTCCCTCCCACCCAGCTGGCCCGGGCTGGGCAGGGCCCTCTGCTGGACACAGAGCACTCTTTGCTGCCCACACATCTCGCCCTCCAGGGCACTCCTTCTTGGCCTGCAAGGTAACAGCATGTCAGGCCTGCGGGGCCCTCAGAAGTTACCTGCTCCAAGCCACTGAGGCCAGAGAGGGCACCGGGCCTGCCGCAGGTCCCACAGTGAGGAGGGGCAGAACCCGACTGTGGCATAGGCCTCCTGACTCCCCCTCGGGGACAGTTCTAAGGCAGCTCCCTGGCTCAACGCTGGACAATGACAGCTGCTGTCGTTTATTCAACAGCCACCAGACCCCAGCACTCCACAGATCCCTCCACTAACCCTCACCACAGCTCCGCGGAGGTAGGTGCTATGGTTACCATTTCTCAGATCAGAAGTCTAAGGCTTGCAGAGTCCATCACTTACCACATAGCTGATACACGGCAGAGCCGGCCCGAGCCCTGGATCTGACTCCGGAGCCCTCTAGCTCGACGCTGTTCTCAGCAGGCGTGAGTCCCTCTGCTTGCCTCCACCCACGTAGACGCCCCTCGGAGAGGAGCAACAATCAAAATTTAACACCCCGCATTCTGACCCAGACACAGGTGGGTGGACATGTGCAATAACTAACGTTCCCTAAGCCCCTGCTGGGTTCTCGACACTAGACATAGAAGAATGCAGGAGACCCCTGCCACCACAGGGCTTTCAGGCCAGAAGCGGGAATAAGCATGTAAACAAACAGTCACAATTCAGTGTGATGGATGCCATGAGATGCAAGGATGCCAAGGGACCCTAAGGAACCTGGAGGGATCAGGAAGGCCTCCCAGATGAGGGGACTTTTGAATGGATCCTAAAAGATGACCGTGAGCTTGTAGGACAGACAACAGGGAGGAAGGGCGCTCTGGGCAAACAATCCAGCCCACGCAAAGGCAAGGAGGTGGGACAGTGGGTGACGAGTGAAAGACAGCAAGCAACGAGGCTGGAACACAGGGTCGTGCAGGGAGAGAGTGTGGGAGTCTGAGGCGAGGAGCCTGGAGAGGTCAGCAGAGGAGGGACCCGGGAGGGCTCTGTAACGAGGGCTCTGTAGTGAGGCCAAGGAGTTGACATTTTATCCTGAAGGCAACAGAGAGAGTTACAGGTTGTTACCGGAGGAACAATGATCGAGCGAGTTGTTTAGAGGGGTCCCTGACGGGCGGCTGGAGCGGGAGGACGCGGAGGTGGGTGCCTGTGGGAGGCAGTGTCTGGAGGCCGGCCGGGAGTGCAGAGTCCAGGAAAACCAAGAGCACGGCGGGGGCCCTGTCTGTGCTTGGGAGGGCCAGGGCATGGGGTGGACACCTGTGCAGGAAAGACAAGGAGAGCCTGGTGGGAGGGTGGGAGAAAATCTCTGCTTTGCACACATGAGACTCTGTGCACTATGGGTCATCTGGGTAGAAATGCAGGACAGAATTATCTGCAGCCCAAAGGAAAGGCTGCAGCTGGACATGGAACTACAGAGGTAGGCAGTGCAGGTGAGGCCTGAGGAGCCCCCACACTCACAGGCAGCCCGAGGAAGGGGAGCTCATGAAGACAATGGAATGAAAACGAGGAGAGGGCGGGTGGCTGTGCTCCGGCTCCTCAGAGGCTACGAAGGAGAAGAGAATCTGCACCTGCGTGGCCGGAGTTGAAAGTCACTTAGACAGTTAGACAGCAAACGTTAACCAAGGCCTCATGGGAGCGAGATCAACTCAGAAGTGGCTTTCTCAGAAGACTTCCTGACTGGGAAGCCTCCGTCCTGCCCAGAGCGGCCCCAACACACTGTGTAAAGAAAGGAGTCCCAAGAAAGAAGGAGGAGGAGGAGGAAAGAAAAAGACTCACATACCCTCAGACGGGGGAAGGAAGCATCTTTGGCCTTTAAAAAATTTGTACCTTTCTGGCTTCTTGCTTATTCCTTGCGTGGGGACGGAAGACACGAGCGGCTGCGGGACTGCGCTGGTTTGGGGTTCAGAGTGTCACAGTGGAGATGCAGAGGCCCATCCAGAGGTCAGACCAGCCAAGCACTCAGCTGTCACCTTTGTGGCCACCACCCGGCCCCACGGCAGAGGCGAGGCCAGACTCCGGCCTCCACGTCCCGCGTCCTGGGGAAGGGTGGAGAAAGGACTGGGGGAGATGGGGGGGATACCCGCACCTCATCCTGAGCCTCCTGTGCTCCATCCTTGGAGCTGTGCTGCCCCGACCCCGCCGAAGAACTGACCTCCGCCCCGCCCCAGAGTGATTGGGTCCTGCCCACTGCCAGACTCCATGGCACTCGGGCTGCACTGCCTTCTGCCCGTGGTGCAGCTGTTTGGTAAACAGAGTCGTCGTCCCCCATGTCATCACCACCATTTCCTGACCACTCACCAAGTGCCGGGCCCCATGGGGAATAGCTCAGCAATTCTCATGTTTAATCTACACGTTCTTACCACAGGTCAGAGAGGTAGAGCAACTTGCCCGAGGACACAGAGCTCGTGAATGCCAGCTGGGATCCAAACGCAGGTTTGTCCAACTCCAAAGCCGAAACCCCGGATCACACCTTGGTGGAGCCTTACAGCACTGGACATGGGAAGAGATCCTAGAGATGGTCAGCACCTGCCCTCTTGTTTTTCAGAAGTGGAAATTGAAGTGCAGAGAAGTCAAGCACCAAGGCCAGCACGGATCCCAAGTCTCCACAGTAGGGCGCATGCCGACACGGTGCAGACCCTGGCCCAGGGCTGGCGGGTGGGGAGCGAGTACGTGTTAGCCCTCTGCTCCTTCTTTACACCTGTGAACACTCCCCGACTGCATTGCGGAGTGTGTCTTGCCTTCCATGAACACTGACCGCCTGAAAGGCGCCCCCCCTGCTGGCCCTAAGTGTCCTTGGTTCTATTACAGTTGGAGCATCAGAGGCCACTAGGTGGAACCAGACATTCGGTGATGGAAGTTAAGGGCGGCCTGGACTCCATGGATCCTAACCCAGCCCGCCCCACCACAGACTCTGCAGCGTCTGAGGGGCCGTCTGAAAAGACGAGACAGGTGGGCTCCCAGGAGCCGACACCGAGGGGGATGGTGGGGATGTACCTGGCGTTTCACCCACCCCTCTTGAGGGCGCCCAATGTGGGTCCCCCAGAGGTGCTCCTCTCCCATCCCTGCTGCTTCAGGAAAATTCCTCTCCTCGACAAGCTGGAGGCAGCCCCCTTATTCAGAAGCATGCTAAGCGGAAAGCGAAGGCTTTCCTAGCCCTTAGGACTGTCTCTCCAGGGTCCCAGGAATTCCCCGTTCTTCTCCCTGGGAATTTCCCCAGTGCTGGCTACAGAGAAGGTACTCGCTTAGGTGGGACCCGGTAGGAGAGAGGCTGGGCTGTCCCCTGGCATTGAACGAGGTGAGGACCTCCGGGCTGAGGTGGCAGTGACGCCCAGGAAAATAAGAGCTAACGCTGCATGGAGCAAGTCCACACGCCAAGCCTTCTCCAGCTGAGAGCATCTTCCAGAACTAGCTGTTGGGATTTAGCTCCTTAAATGGCCCTGCCACTTGCTAGGTGTGTGTGTGACTCTGGTCGAGTTCATAACCTCTAGGTGCCTCAGTGTCTTCGTCTGTCACATGGGGATAATAACAGGCGTGGTGTGAAGATTGAGTTCACCCATGTAAGTCACTGGAACAGGCGCGTTGTAAGCACTGAATAAGTGCTTATTATTAGCTACTGGCTGTTCGGCTCATTTAGTTCTCACAACCGCGTTACAAGGCAGGGTACTATTACTATCTAAATCTGACAGATTTGGAAACTGAGGCACAGGGAGCAGGAGGCAGCCAAAGAGGCAGGGAGGGCAATTCTGCGATGGTTCCTCCCCTGCCAGGGTTCGGGCCTGGGCAGGGATATGCGTCTGGTCTGCAGCTGGCACCAGGCTAGGCTGGGGGGCGTGGACACTCCGACCCCCTGGGTCCCACTGCACCAGCTCCCCATGCTCCACTCCCGGGCCCAAGGGGCACACGGGTCCTGTTCTGGAGGACAGGCAGAGGGTCACCAGTGGGAAGGTGGCGTCTAAAGGTCAGGGGCTCTGGGACCTGGCCCAGCTCTGCTGCTAGTGAGCCCTATAACGTTGGTGATCACTCATTCACTCGTTTTACCAGCACTTGTTGAAGACTGGCTGTGCACCAGGCCTCGTGTCTGACAGGCCAGGACGGTGCATGGTGCGGCGTGACCTCTGCCCTCCCGAAACTCACACTCGAGTGAAGGAGGCTGCCACTGAAAAAACTAACCCCAGATAGCACAACTACAGACCATGAGGAAAAGAAGCGGATGCCACACTGTCACAGACCTCTCTGCCCTCCACTTTCCCCCTGGTGGAAGGTCAGGGCTGTTATCCAGCCTGGAGTCTCCCAAGGACGCTCCGCAGTGAGCTGTGCGCGTCGTGGAGCCATTTGACAAGGCACGAGTTCCACAGCAGCCTATGCCAGTAGTTCTCAAAGTGTGGTCCCTGGACACCAGCACCTGGAGACTTACTTGAAATGCAGATTCTCAGGCCCGCTCCATCAGGAATTCTGGGTGGGCCCACAGCCTGTGTTTTAGCAAATCCTCCAGAGGATCTGATGCCCCCTGAGTGTGAGAGCAAGCGTATAAGGTATTCCCACTGCGTTCGATTGGTGGGCATGGGAGTGCTTCCCCACGCCTTGGGCCGTGCTTGTAGGAGGGACAGAGGTGGGGAGGGACCCTGGCCTGGAGGCCCCCAGACCATGGACGCACTGGAGTCTGGTGAGCAGGCCCCTGTCTTCCTGTCTGCTTCCTCAGGGCCTGGCACTTGGTAGATGCTTGACACACGTGTTTAAGAAAATCAAGAACAAATAAGTGTTAAGCAGAGGCCTAAAATTGCTCACGAAATCCTACCCATTCCATGACACCACGATCCCTTCCCTAGGGGTGGGGGTGAGAAAACCTCTGGTGTCCTCAACTAAAGGAAGAATTGCAACTGCCAAGG